TTGCCTGTTTTTCACGTGGTTTGTTGTATACTCACACTCGCTCTAAGCAGGAACGTATATATATATATATATATATATATATATATATATATATATATATATATATATATATATATATATATATATATATTACTTTTTTTTAAATTATTTTAGCATTTTTTTTATTAATTATTGTGTGGTTTGTTTTTGTATTTAGATGAGGAAATGGAAAGCATGGGAAATGGAAACAAGAACAGCTGAATATCAATACTCTCATGGTAAATAAAAAAATAAAAAAAATAAATATTGAGGATTTCACAATTCCAACAATATCAGCTTTTATAAAAGTACTTTTTGGTATTATAGATCCAGAAAGATTCAGATTCACAAGGGACACTTCATTTGGAAGAAGGCATATGAGCTTTTGGAGTAAATCTCCTGTCCTAATTTGGGTGGTAATATAACAATCTTTGCATCTTTCGTTAGCTCTTACGGTTTTCTAAAATCGACGGTTATTTTTTAAAACATTTTACGTTATTGATCTAATAAATCGGGGGGATTTGAATTTTGTGCTCCTAAAATTCCAGGTATGTTTCTTCAGACAATTTGTGAGATCAGTTCCAAAGGTTGACTATATGACTCTGCGCCACGGATTTATCACCGTAAGCAGATTTACCTTAATGCTGTATAACTTTCTTATAGTCTTCTAACAAAAAAATATATAACTCGGGTTTTTCGATTCTGTAATAAAATCGACAGGCACATTTGGCACCACACAGCCAAACCGATTTTGATTTCCAGAAGTACATCAAACGAACACTTGAAGCAGATTTCAAAGTTATCGTAGGCATCAGGTGTGCACTAACCCCTATATATATATATATATATATTATATATATATATATATATATATATATATATATATATATATATATATATATATCTCGATATAGTTGTTATACTGTCTCTGTTTCCGTTTCTATTTAAGTGTCGTTTTACAATTTCAATAAAATTGTTTAGCCCAACTATACACAAACATTAATGACATATTAATGAAGTGAGAAAGAGAGAGGATAAAAAGTCAGAAGAGGTAATACCGTAATATTATCAAATGAAGACTTCTCTAGTTTTCTCCTTAAAATCAAGATTATTTAATAGCTCCCTTAAATGAAACTTAAAAAAAAAACGTGGGGAGCTAAACCTCTATAAATTGATACAGTCAGGACTAATAAAATCCTATTATTTAGCGAAATATTAAGTTATCGAACTAATAGTTTAGTATTTTTTTAACGAGTCGGGACCAGAAGAAATTATATTTTAAGCGAGGTTATAAGTTTATCGAGTATTAATTTATCGAGGTTCTACTGTAAGTAGTGAAGCTAACATCTTATTGTCATATTCACAGTCCCCCAATATGGCTATTCGCAGTTCTATTCTTGCTGTTCAACACCCAAGGTAAGAAAATAAGCTCGTCTTCAGATAGTTCACTAATCTTATTACAATGCTACAAATGACTATTATAGGAGAAGAATCTGATTCTTGACTAATCTAAAAGTTCCGATTTTTATCTTTGGTGGAAATAGGCTGGCGTTCCTATCTGTGGCTGCCCTTTATCCCACTTATTGTAAGTTCAATCTCATCTAATTCAAACCATCAATCGTAACTTTAGTAACACGTTTCATAATTAGACGAACTCAAAATCCTACGCGGTATAATTCCTACGCAGATGATCTTGTTAGTGGGAACAAAACTTCAAGTCATCATAACCAAGATGGGATTAAGGTTTCAAGAACGAGGAGAGGTGGTGAAAGGGACACCTGTTGTTCAACCAGCTGATAACCTTTTCTGGTTCAATCGACCCTATCTCCTACTTCACCTAGTCCACTTTGTTTTCTTTCAGGTACTTTCTTGATGAACGTCGTTACATTTTACTCGTCAACTTCGAAAAACTAAGAGTTACTAATGATGTTTTTCTTCGTTCTTTTGTTTTACTCCTATAGAATGCATTCCAGCTGGCATTCTTTATCTGGGCTTGGGTAAGCATTACTCATATTTAGTTAAAATCCGTATCGAAAATTCATCTTCGGCTTTTTGGTATCTGATGAAGATATTTCCATCGACGTGTTTCAGTATGAATTCGGGATAAGATCTTGCTTCCACGAAACAACAAAAGACATCACAATCAGGATAACAATGGGGTGAGTACGAGCATTTTACTAAATCCTGAAAAACCTTATAAACAATGAAATCGAGAAACATACTAACACTACAAAAACAAAATACTTTCTTTCTGTCGCAGGGTAGTGATACAAATACTCTGCAGCTATGTTACTCTTCCATTGTATGCCTTAGTAACGCAGGTAATAGATACTTCACTTTCCAAGAACGAGTAATTCAAGAATTTGAAATATATTTCATTTGGGATTATCTAAATTCTAAACAATAAAGTTAATATGAGTTCGAAAATTGAAATACTTACCTTCACTACATCGAACAGATGGGATCAAACATGAAGCCAACAATCTTCAACGAAAGAGTAGCGAAAGCACTGCGTACATGGCACCAAACTGCAAGAAAGCAGATAAAGAAAAATAGTCACTCGGGCTTAGGTACACCACCTTCGAGCAGGCCAAGCACCCCACTTCATGGCTCTTCGCCTCTCCATTTGCTGCGCCACAACAAGAGCGAGTTCGACAGTGTGAATGCTTCTCCAAGAACCACCATTCACAAAACCGAGTCATGGCCAGCCGAACATGATGATGTTCCATGGTCCAATAATAACAATACAGGAACTGCCAATCCGATCGAAGAAGAGACGGAGATTCAAGAATATTCGAACAATCCTATTTCTCAACCCCATCACTTGCGAAATGAGACACATTCGGTAGATTTCTCGTTTGAAAAGAACGCAGGAGCCTGAATACTTGCAATAGTAATAAGCAGCAGAGTATAATAGCACTTACGAATATACATTGATCTATTTAATAAGCTAAATCTGTGTCGTGGAAGTACATATCACAAGTTCATATGTGAACTGAGAAATACGTTAGAGACAATCAACTTCTCCATAGTGAAGTAAATAAGACTGGGCATGAATCTATTGATGCAATATACCAAAACCAACCAGACATTGCACAAATCATAAACTTGCTAAAACTTTCGAGAGAATGAAATAAACCGAATCTAATACATTCACACATCTCATCACCACGTCAAAGAAAATATTTTAAAGCACTAAAAAGATTAGAGCATGGAAAGAGATGCAAAGATCAAACAGATAAAATGTTCTATTCATCAAGTAAAACGAGATGCGTCTAAAACGAACAAAAAGCAGAAACATCACAGAATTCAGGCAGCAAAATATCAAATTTATTCACCCAAAATTAAAATATTTTTCCTAAGCAATAGAATCCAATTCAGCAGAAGCTCACTTCTTCTTTGCAACCTTAGTCTTGCCCTTAGCATGAACCTCCTTCTTATGCGTGCGTCTCGGTTTCAATTCTCCCAACTTATGGCCCACCATAGTCTCCAAAATACGAAACGGCACGTGCTTCTTCCCGTCGTGAACAGCGATTCGATGCCCTACCATATCCGGCACGATAGTCGAACCCCTGGACCATGTCTTAATCAGTTCTTTCTTCGAAATCTCATTCAGATTCTTAATTTTCTTCACCAAGTGATTGGCGACGAAAGGTATCCGCCAGCTGGTTCCGCCGCCGCGGAGGCGGAGGACGAGGTGGAGTGTGGATTCCTTCTGAATGTTGTAGTCGGCTAAGGTCCGGCCGTCCTCCAGCTGTTTTCCGGCGAAGATGAGGCGCTGCTGATCCGGCGGGATACCTTCCTTGTCCTGGATCTTCGCCTTGACATTGTCGATGGTGTCGGAGCTCTCCACTTCGAGAGTGATTGTTTTTCCGGTTAGGGTTTTCACGAAGATTTGCATTTTCTTTTGATTTTTTTTTTGTTCCGAAGAAAAAATGGTTGAACGAAGGAAGGAGGGGTTTTTAGTATTGAAGTTAATTCCGTTTACCTCCCTGAGGTTTGATAAATATTGATACAACCCCATCCTTGTAATTCTTTTTAATAGAATTATAGTTTTCACCCCTCAAGTTTTCACTAATTTCACTTTTGGTCCCCTATGTTTACAAAAGTATATTTAGTCCCTCATATTTCAATAATTTAACTATTTTGGTCATTTCCGTCAATTTACCGCTAATATGTCAGTTAATTCATTAATGGACATAGGCGTGATTCCGTTAGTTTTAATGGAAAATTGATGGAAATGGCTAAAAGTGTTACATTTTTGAAATATGAATGATCAAATGTATTTTTTGTGAACATGAGGGACCAAATATGAAATCAATGCTAATGTGATAGACTAAAACTGTATTTTTTCCAATTTTCATTTCTTTTTTCTTTTTCTATTTTTCTTTTTTCTTTTTATAAACCCGCCGCAGCTACAAAATGTAACAAAAAACTTTGTTCTTGTGCAATAACTCATAAATCACATCACTGGTATAATTCGCATAGTAGGGCAAACTAGGTGAAAAGGAACTCGGAGTTCTGAAATAAATAATCGAACTCGAGTCGTTATACGTCCTGCTTTATCTGAACATAAATAGTTATGGACTTGTGGTATGGTAAAACAAAGGGTGAAAAGCATTTTGCTCCTCGATTATATGTTGATTTGCACATTGTGAACAAAATAGTTTTGCACGATTTTCTCTGAACTTGTTTATTTGTTGCATCATACCTATTTCCGTCCAAAATTTGGCCAAGCACTATTTTGAAGGGGTAAAATGTCTCGAGTTTTTCAGTGGGCAAAGTGTAAAAAAATCGCTTTCGATGTGAATAAATAGTAACGGTGAGCAACAAATAATCCCACCCTTATTCTCCCACCTTTATCAGGATGAAGAAAGGAAGAAATACCATAAAATAGAATGCAACGTCTCTTTTAACAAATAATGTTCGTTTCCTCCCATTCGAGGAATAAATTTGAAACACATATATGTACAAAAGATTCATGTAAATTACTATCGAACATAAACGAGTCATTTGTCTTTAACACCGTCACCTACAGCAGGTGATTTACAAATCGGACATACATTCTTCATCGACAACCATTTTCGAATACAGCCCACGTGAAAATCGTGTCTACACGCTTTTAATGTGGCAACATCATCCATGTTTTTGTATTCATCCTGTTAAAAGGGCACACACAGTTACACCGTTTAGAACATCTAATTAAAAGAAAAAACTTGGATAATTTATCTCATTAATAAAGCTCAATCTAACGACTATACAGCACCATTAACTTATTATATTACATAAGTATATAGGTTTCGGAAAGAAAGATACTAGAAAAAGATCGATTCTCACCAAGCAAATAACACAAGTTCCTTCATCTTGAGATATGTCTGAAGAACAATATATCGATTCAGTCAGACATTTTGAAATTGAACCATCGGACAAGCCGGTGTTGACACTTCCAATACTCTCTCCCAGTGCAACGAGCTCCTGTTTACGCCAATTACTTATAGTTTAGCAACTTAAGGTAAAAAATTGTGAAAACAAATAAATAAATAATAATAATAATAATAATAACATAATAATTAAAACATTGGAATGCGAGAATAAAATTGGAGATGGAAAGGAGCATAAAAAACGACCTCGTAGCTCATATTGTCTATATCAAGTCTCATATTCCTGTGCTGATCAAACAAAGTTCTGGATGCATATATTGCTGAGTGGTCCGCAACCATGAGACCCTGAAATACATACATAAGATGAACGGGTGAACAATAAGGAGATAACGGTATGCTGGTAAACGCTAGTCCGTCTTGTTTGAAGAAGAGAAGGGGGGGAAAATTGTGTAACACCAAGTAATTTGGAAAGTCCTATATTTAGTGACCTTTTCAGCAGAAAGATATCCACTCATGATAATTTTATCTCCTCCTATTACAATTTTTCTACTTCCATTTACCCGTTTTCTGTGGTAACGTAACTTGATATTTTATGCACTGACTGCATCCGAAAGACTCGAAACAAATACCTCTCAATCAGTTGACTAGGGGGAAAATGAACAAGCCGGAATCGTGCATTTAATCATTATAAAGATCAAAAGCAAGAGTTGCCTACGAGAAACTACTATTCAAATATGATACTCAAATTCATTAAAAAAATCAAATAATTAAGGCAACCACAAAATAGAAAGGGGCGCGCTCAAGTCACCATTTTATTCCTAGTTTTTTCAGACATAAAACTCCCATAACAATACGTGAGAAAATTCATACCTCGGCAGAAGACCTATATCTGTCACTTGATATAGAAGTTCTCCCACTCCTGTCGACATTGCGGAACCTTAAGTTAGAAACTGCCCGTGAATTTCTCGAGGGGTGACTTTCTGCCACCATCTGCTGCCCTACATCTGAAGCAGCTACATGCCCGGGTTGGAAGATGCTCCACGAAGCCCTGAGAGTTGGGGCAGATCTTTGACTTTGACCATAACCACTCCGTACTCCTCTAACAGACTGGTTTGGGAGAGTGTTGGCATTCTGAGGAACAAGACCTCTGTTTGAAGTAACATCATTGTTGTAACCTTGAATCTGAATGGAACTATTTGTATTGTTGTTTGGCGTATTCATGGCGTTTGGATCGTGACTAAAGAAACTGGAATCTAAAAAATTTCAAAATAAGAGTACCTTAGTATATGCAACAGAATCTCGATAAATTAATAACCTCACTTAAATAAAAATTTCTCACGGTCCCGACTCGGTGACAACGTGCTAAATTATTAATTCAATAATTTAATATATCCGCTAAATTGATAGAATTTTCCTAATCCCAGCTGTATTAATTCATAGAGGTTTAACTGTAAGGATAAAAAGCCACGAAAAACTAACCTGAGCCAAAATTCCCCTCATGCGCGACAGGTGGTATCGGATTATTACCATTCGAACTCTGGCCCCAGAAATCCATTGGATTAGATTGATGCAAAGAATTATTGGTTGGCAATTGAGTTCTGGCAATATTGGTTTCCATGCCAACTGCAGGTCTACTTCTCACATTTCTGATTGTACCTTCACCGCCTAAGGAGAGACTATTATTGCCGCCATAGGATACAGTATAATCCCAGAGTGTATGATTAGATTCAGTGTTCTGCTTCTCCTGCCACGGGTCTGCAGGCAAACGAATATCGGACGAACTTCCAGCATCATAGTACCTGCTGCTTGTAGATGCCAGGTGGCTGTCGCAAATTGGAGGGATTCCAGGGCTTTTCCGCTTATATGATGGTCCTCTGCTACTGCCTACTGTCGGATCGTAAAAACTACCGTCAACGTTGGATGACGAGTGATGAGAATAATTATTTTGAACCGTGTGAAGATTTCCAGCACCAGTTTGTTGAATAAAAGGATCACGAGATGGGCCAGGAGCCATTGGTTGATAATGAGTTGATTCACCGGCATTAAGAACAGATGAAGAATATCCAATTGACGTAGGAGCAGGGGTCCAATGAGAAGGGAAGTATCCACCTTGATGTGCCATATTATCCACCGGATGAGTAATTGAACTGTTTTCAGTACCCCGTGCTATATAAAAAAGAATATAGAAGAACATAAGATAAAAAATTACGTAAATACAAACACGGAAGTTACATCTATTTAATCAAATTAAAGGAAAAATGGATAACGACGTCCATGCAACACAGACTGTAATCAGATAATGATGCCAAAACAAAGATTCCTTCGTCTGGCATTCAATTCTACTAATAACAAAAAAAAATGGTACTAAACAGAGTTTTAGTTCCGTGCGGAAAAAAAAAAGGAAGTTGTGAAAATGGATTTATTAGAATGTTATTATACCAATGGGAATATAAGGTTGCTCTGCATGACTCCACCCCGGATTGCTATCACTCTCAAAAATCTGAGATGTGTTAAACAAGTGCCTGTGCCCCATAGTTATCCAACCAGTATGAAACTAGCTGACCAAAACCTGCATGGTATCACAAAATCTGATAAGTTTCAATAAAATGCCAAAGATAAATGGAATTCGTTTACATCTGCTGAGGCTTCTCAAGTTATGATATTTTCTCGATCATGTAATATACAGACAGTTAGCAAATTTATAATGGGGAAATATGTGGCATACCGTGCATGTCAAAAGCAAACAGATGTACAGGGAAATATAGCAACAACTTAAATCGTATACTTAAACTAGTATCGTCCCCTGATCTATCGTTATATTCATTAGTTTATGCAAATTTTGAAATCGATAAATGACAAAATGATTGGCACATTCATTTTTTCTTATCCTGGCCTTCAAAAGTGAACTACAACAATGGAAAATGGAACAAAATGCAACCTTCTACAAGGAAGCAAGGACCGTCGTCTATCTAGAAGAGGATGTCAAAGTAAGTTTATCAAATGCCTCTCCTCTCGTGTATATACAATAATGACAAGAACCTTAGAGAAAAATAAAATATAAATATAAACACAATAGAGATCAGATGTAAAATTAGTACGTCTCCCATCCTTCCCAAGTTCATTGTATTTAATAAAATTTAATACACAATAGGTAATTTGGATGTAAGATTTGCACTTCTCCTCCCTTATGCACATTTTTTTATTCTGACTTCCGAGTCACCTTATATTCACAACACTCTGCTCACACTATCCTCTTCTCCTTGGAAGTTAGAGGTAACAGGTCTTCGTTAGTGCACTGAATCATGACCTGACTGCATTAATCTACATACGCTTCAAAGTTGAATATACTCGTTCGATAAAGTCATGTTAAAACTGCTGCATATATAGATATAGATGACTTGCAAATGCTAATGTCTATATCTTACATAAAGAAGATGGCCATAAGGCAACCCTGTTCTCGTCCATTGCACAAACCACAATGCAAGATATTTAACAAGCAAATATAGAATTGCAAGCCAACTTAATATTCTGAGCTACCCATTAAGGCTACGGTTAAGATAATTCCTATAAGCCACCAAAAAGCTCGTAGAAGTTGATTATGCCAAAGCCCCAAGGCAATCTTAGTCACCGGATATTGACGGCATTCTTAGAATTATTCCAGGGTGATCTGGAATGAACCGCCACTTTGTTGGAGCTGAATGATGGAACGGTACGAGCAAATTCCACAAGGCAAATAATTATAATTTCCGGCAAATGTATTTTTTTTATATTTTCTTGTCTGTTGTCGAACTCAAAGGCTGATGTCAATCTAATAATTCTTGGAGGGAACAGCAGAAACCAAAACCAAATCTGTTCTTCCATGATCCAGATAGATCAAATAAAGGAACCTGCAATACCATTTGCGATTCAGATTCTTCATATAACACTAAGCCTCTATGTACTAAATACGTGCCCTATCCGTGTGTAGGAAGGAGGCTAGTGCTTTTTCTAAAACTTTAAAAAAGACAATTGTCACTAAGCTACAAAAGATGCAGAAAATCGGCACTTTAGTGCATCGTTTATATCCTAGCTTGATCTTAAATTGCTGACATTAAAACCTTTTCTCATCGATATTAGAACTGTAAACAAAAGACTAGACTGGATAGAGGTTGAGGAAGAGAGAGAGAGAGAAGGAGAGAGGTAAGCATCAAACATCTTACCTGCAAGTTACCCCCTCGGTTCATATGCTTTGCTAACTCAGGCTCATTTTTAGGCAAAGAAAACGAACGAAATGATAGATTCTCGTTGTCCAGAAAATGCTAGCTGAAGTAGCCGAGGAAAGCCCTAAGTTTGAACTACTACACTTGGATATACGGATTCCTACAAATCAAAGGCCAAATCCTCCATAAATATATACCACCACAAACCCCAGCCTGGATACTAGAAAACATCCAAACTCATTCCTACTTAATTCAATCCTAAATAATAATCAAAAGAAATCTTTTTGAACCAAGTACAGTTTTGAAAATCATCAGCCGTCGTAGAAACAATAAAAAACAAAAACTGTTCGCCCGTGATTGTTAGATTCAGAATTGGGGGAAGTGGGGAACAATCTTAAGGATACCAAATAAATATGAAGGAAAGGAAGAAAAAAAAAAATCTGAAAATTCTTCAGATTTGCCACACGTGTGAAAACCCATGATTCCGTGGATGGATGAAGGAATCTTCCTCTGAAACTTAGTTAGTGGCCATCAATTGGATATGACAAAGCTTAGAACACGATCGCCATGAAAAATACACTGACAATAAACTGACGATCGGAGCCAAATACACACACTAGCACAAATACCAGTCAATCAATCTTATAGCCCATACAGCAAAATCCAATCAGCGACTGATCAATCAACCGATACATTAAAAAAAAACAAATTCATCAAAACAAAAAACAAAATTGATGCAGCAATCATCGGTAAATCAGAGAAAACGAAACACGAACCAACCTCGATAATCGGTGATCAGATAAAACTCAGCTGAAACACGCCGACTGGTTTTGTGTTGTCTGTATAGAATTGTAGATGGTACGGAACACACAAGGAATATGAACAGAAGAGAGAGAGAGAGAGAGACGGTGAATTATTATTATATAGCGGTTGATTCATGAATGAATGGGTTGCGTATTCCTCTGTATGTACATCTTCTCTCTATTAAATATTATACAAAGAGGAAAGAGTGATAGGTATAAAAAGTTGGTAATAAATCAAATTGAAATTTAATTGAAAAAAAAGAAAAAGAAGGCAACAAAGCAAGTAGAGTTTTGGAATTTAGGTGGACACCGCAATGGAAGGAAACTGAATTGCAGAACAGCATCAACTTTTTCAAAATAATTACAGTTATTTTAGTATATGCGATTCTAATACAAATGGAAATCGGATTATTATTATGGGATTTGTGCATTATCTTTTTAATTTGTTTTTGTAAAATTCCTATCAAGTAATCTATTTTTTTGTTTTCTTTACTTAATTCTGAATCTCAATGGGCTCAAATAACTATTTTAATTGTAATAAGCATCCGAATTGGAATATATATGAGTTTCCGAATTCCGAATTCCAATACGGTTACAATTTTCAAAAATAATTCCAGAATCTCCAGAAAAAAAAATCTTAAAAATTACCTTACAATATCATTTCATTATACATTTTTACACTAAAAATTTGAAATTTATTGATTTCCACAACTCGAAAATTTATGATTTCGCAACAAGTTTTTTCATTCCAATTTTCGAAATTCTGATTTCCAATTTTTCCGAAACGGGACTGTAATGGGTTTTTCACTTCTGAAAACAATCGGAATATTTTTGAAAGTACTTATTACAATCTGATCCATCCGATTTCCACCGCTTATAAACATTTTTACAAAAAATCCATCGCATTAGCTCAATGAAGGCATGTGATAATTCTTTTAATTAAAGGGTTTATTAGGGAAAACCCCCTTGTTCATATTTTCTAATGAGGTAGATCCAATTTTTTTTCTCCTTTTTGAGATACACCCAATTTTGCCAACTTGGCAAAATATATTATATAATTTCCCTTTAATACCCCTGTTTTATTATTAAACGGCATTTATTTCCCTTAATACGTGATTTGAGATTTGCTGATACGTTGCCTAAAATCACGGAATAAATTTACGTGAGATCATTAGCCGTTATATCAAATCGTGTACAATATTTTTTGAAGATTCTCTTCATCGTTCCAGCGGGTTTTATCGTCATTGAAGATTTCTGCACCGTCGTGGAAATATGATCGATTTTTGAGCGTTTGTTGTTGGACGTTGTTAAGCGGATATGAATGCGTTATTCGTTTTTATTTTTTGCTCAATGTCCATGATTGTCGTGTATGGTGGTTAGAAATTTTTAAGAGTTGTGTTGATACTTGATTCTATTAAGTAGAACGTTTTTTAACAAAATTATTCCGTCATATATATATCGTTTTTTTTTGCCGATGATGTTTGTTTGGAAGAGGATTGACAGAGTTAGAAGAGGATGGTTCACGCAGATCGGATCAGAGTTGTTTTATATGAGCTTCGTAGTTGGTTTATGCAATAATCGGAATAATTGTCCGCTTTGGTCGAGTTCATGTTTTTATCCCGATCGATAGTTGGTTTATTTGTTTATAACAGCCTATTTAAGTGTGCTGGGTAGTACATTAAAATATAGTTCGTAGTCTTTTTTAATTTAGCGTATGAATTTTGCATTTTAAGTTTATTTTTGATGATATTAATGTATTATCATTCAAATGTATTTGCAGTCTATTTAATTATTTTTTAGTATTCTGCATTTTTAATTTTGTTTCATGATTTTAGGTTTTTTCGATGGCGAATTTCGTACGGATTTTGTTGAGGTTTGCTGGGTTGGTTGCTATAAAGAGGTGTCGATGTAATGGCTCGGTAACTTCGGTTAAGTGTTAAACCGTTGTAATACAGTAGTATAATATTATGAATACCATATGATACTACCATTATCATTTTATTATACTATTATGAGATTATTAATGTACTAGAGTTTTTTAACTCGACATATTGGTTTTATTGTGTTATGATGTGTTTTATGTATTTTATCAAAACCCTAGATTGAAATTATGAGATTATTAATGTACTATTTTATTGGTTATGTGGAATACTTTACGTTGGTGTTGTTCTCAATGTTCTTGTCATTTCAGTGGTATATTGTTTGTAACACAATTTCATATCAATACTATAACCGTAATATACTATCATAGCAGATTAATGTACTATATTGAAATTATTAATATACTATGTGATTGAATAATACGGGATCCATAGTCTATTAACGAGATCCATAGTCGAATTAGATCAATAAGATAGTCTATTACATGATATAAGGAAAATTACCCTAATTGATTAGTATAACAAACATATTATTCACTTTCCATATATATTATTATTTCTTCATATATATTATTATTTACCCTAATCGTTTTCATATAATAAGGAAAATTACCCTAATTGATTAGTATTTCAAACAAACATATTATTCAGTTTCCATATATATTATTATTTTTCCAATAGTCAATTAATTAAACCCATAGTCGAATTAGATACATGGGATAGTCTATTAAAATATATGAGATAGTCTATTAATTTAAAAAAGGTAAAGTAACGGGATTTGTGGGATTTGATTGATGGTAATTATGTAATTACGAAAAGCTTGGGCTTTGATCAAAATGGCAAATTTAAATTTGGGTCTACCCCTATTATTTGAATGTTTAAGGGGGTTATATCTAATAGACCCTTAATTAAAACTATTTTCTCAAATTAACTACTATTAAATGAATTGATTTGTTTGTTATCTTATTATTCCAGCTATACGTATGTAAAAATTGATTCTATCTCAATAATGAAAGTGACCATATGAATTATTTATTTGACCGACGAATTAGGGGATGGTTGTTTACTAGAATTGACAAAGCACATCTACGTTTCGTGATTATTTACACTTTCGGTTGTTTCTAAAAAAATTAGGTGTAAATTTCGTACAGTTGATCCGAAATGAAAATGCCAAGTTACTGAAATATGATGTTACATTTAAATTCCATACAACATTAACATATACGTCAAAAAATATGTATCGAACAAATTTAAAAGTTCGTAAAATCTTTTTTTTTTTTTAAATTACCTTATAGTACTCAATTATGCGTGAAAATATGCCGGGTAAATATTTGTCCGGTAGAGAGTATGTGAACTGCCTTTTAATTCAACATAACGAATAGCTTTAATAGCTTTTAATAATTTATTTTATGTTTAATTGTTCACAAGTGTGATCTTTGATTTTTAATTTGGTGTTATATTTCTAAATCTTGATCGAAATATAAAAGAAATTAGTGGATACGTCATCTACAAAAAATAATGTTAGTACTTGATAAATGTCAGATTTAAGATTGATTTTGTAGAGAATTTGAAAAATTCCAATAATACTAAGGCAACGAACAATTGCAAATGTACTTGAATATTAGAGATGCCCCTTCTATTTGTGAAGGTCTAGGGTATACTGATTTCATGTCGTTTGATGCTTTATTTAGGTTAACAATATCCTCTTTCGGTTCAACAAGCAAATACAATCAAAGACAAAAATAACGGCTTTCCTTAATGAATAAGTAAACAAAAATAATATGTATCTTTTGTTGCAAAAATTTATCAAGGATTATTCGACATAAAACATTCAATTAGTGCGTTCGTTCGAAGAGCTTAGATAGAAGTATTTGATCACATAATCCAATCGAATTACCGGCACCCAGAAATCGTGTCCACATAAGTTCTTGAATGTAGTGGCATGATGTTCTTGTAATGGCGGATTATTCAGAAACTCAAATTAAACTAATTCAAAATTGAGCAAATGGATATATGTTCAAAACAGTCAAATAACACTAGCAATCACTACACCATAATTATAAATTAAAAAAAAATATTAAATCCGAATACTTGTTGCTCACTCTGCTCAGCTTTACTTCTCAGATGAGTTTGGTCCCCTCTTCTTCCCAAAGCCAACAACTGCAATCCAATTCAAATTTGCAAAACCCCAAATAAATATACAACCAATCACAGACAATAAAAACTCAATAACACTAAAAATTGCTCAAATCGTCAAAAATAATTATAAAAAAAGAAAAAAAAAAGGATAGATTTACCGGCGGTGACGAAACGGCGGTTGTACTGCATACGCTTGTGGGCGCGTCCGCGGGGCTTCTTCTTCTTGTCCTGCTTTGCCACCTTCGGCGTCTGTCCTCTCACCTTTCCGGCACGCGCCAACGAACCGTGTACCTTACCTGCAATTTTTTATTTTATTCGCCGATTAGAAATTACAGAAATGGATCGAATCGAATCAATTATCAATCAGTTATCAAATTTACCCATGTTTGTGTTTGATTGATTTCTGCGAAAATTCTTCCTATGGTTATTCTTCGGCTGCCGGTAGTGGAAATGGAGCTCGAGTCTTCTTCAATTAAGAAAATTAGGGTTACGGATTTTTATAGGGACTGTGAAAGGGGGCTGAACTTAAATTGGACTTTTGACTTTTTTAATTTAAGTTGGTTGATTATTCTTTTAACAGCCCAATAGTATTGAAGTTTTTTGGGTTTCTAGCCCATTCCACCAATTTCTTTCTATTTATTTTCTTTTTTCCAATTTCATATTTTTGTTGTTTACAATTAGGGGAACCCCTTATTCTGGACTTATATAGGTGGGGATCCTAATTGTTAGATGAGTATAGGTCTAGGTCCTTTGACAAAATAAAATAATATAAATAAAATAAAATAATTAGTACATTTACATAAAACACCCTTAATTAAAAAGAAAGTAAATCCCATATATCACTCTCAATTTCTCTCCAACCTCACGTATATCTCTCTATATATCTAATCTATCATCTCTCTCTTCCTCTATATCTCGTATCTCGCTCTCCATCGTCTCTCTCTCTTTTTTTTTTCCGACTCTTCTTTTCTGTTTTATTTTTTTTTCCAATAAGCATCTTTTCGAAAAGAAATTCTGATCGATTTCTTACTTTCTTCCTTTTCTCGATTCCGATTTCTTTTCTTTCTTTTTGAATCCTGCCATAGCTAGAACCTTCAACAAACTATAACAAAATATTTTTCGTTTGTTTTTTGGTTGTGGGACATTTTGTTGTTCTTTGTTTGGGAAAATCGTTTGCTATTTTGGAGATCTTGTTTGTTGTTTGTATTTAATTTCTACTTCTCCAGTTATTACGATGGAAGGCAATTAAGGAGATTCTCGCATCGATCTTGGGTGGTGTTTTTACGGGAATTGATCTACGAGATTTTGATGCACCTTTTCACCGGCATTCGAAATCCACCTTCTGCTTCGTCCATAACAATATCTCCGTCTCGGTCCCTACCATCCTCGCCAAGGGCTTTGACGGGTTGCACTCAATTGATTGGGTTCATTGCGGCGATGGCGGCCATAGGGTTTTTGACGGAGTTAGGACTGGCGGCAAGGGATTTGGGTGAGTACCTCGATTTTTTTTTCGTTGTTTTTATTTTGCATTTTGCAATTCATGTTACATATTGTTTCTCGTTTTGAATTTTTTTCTCAGTTTGATGTTTGTATTTGGAGAAGTCATAGGTAATATTTTTTTTGCAACTCAATAATGCAAATTCTGGATTATTTTTTTCCAGTTTGCTGTTTTTCAGCTGAATCATTGGTATTTTGTTGTTTGCAATTCAATAATACAAATTATAATATTAAGTTTGCTATTTGCAGTTCACGAAGTCATAGGCGTCATTTGCTATTTGCAGTTCACAGAGTCATAGGCGTCAGTTTGCTATTTGCAGTTCACGATAGACGGTGGCACGACAGTAGTGTCGTTTTTAGAGTATGAATTTGTACAAGAAATAGTATATATATTTTTTTATTAATTTCTTAATTTTTTTATTAATATTTGCAAGAGATGTTTGGTAATTTGTTTTGATAGAGATATTTTTAAGGGATTTGACTTGATTTGGCTAAGGGTATTTTTGACACAATAAATATTATTAATTTATTAAAATATGGAAATTTTGACTTGGATTTATACACATAAATTATAAGATAGAGGGACCTATAGCAAATTTTCCCTTACAATTATTAGCTTAGTATTTAAAAAGAAAAATTGTGTAATGTTATAATCTAAAAAAAATAAAAATAAAATTATCAACAACTTATTTAAGTTGTATTTAATTTTATGTCCAAAATTTGCTTTATCTACATATGCAATATATTTATCAAGAATAATCCAAAAATTAGAGTTTATTTGCAGATATAATTCATTTTCCGATATAAACACATAAACTGATAAAAGCGCTCTCCCCTCTCTCTACATTCATCATTTTTCTCAACCAATTTCTTTCCTCGTCTGGTTTAATATCCGCTGGCAGTTAGATCTTTTGCATCACACGTAATTCATCTCGACGAGAGGTACGGTTTGGTGGACCGGATATTGGTCCCGGAGGTATAGTCCTACTGGCGGTGCTAGGGTTCCAAACGCTCCAAACGCTAGGTCTCCATGGCGGAAGACACCAAAATTTCAGTCCCACTTTCGTAACAAGTTCGCCAAACTGCCTACATTAGCCACCACGACACAATTTGCAACATCCATACCACTCACAATATCCTATAAAGTTGTTGTTTCAAGCTAAGCAACATCATCGTCTCTGGTTATTTGTGTTCATCACAAACCATTGACTCCATTATTTAATGAGAATGGTAAAAAAAACTTATTTTTCAAGACCTCTAAAGGGATAAATTATCGGAGCCTCTTCTCTGTAAGATTGTCAGAAAAAATTCTGATGAAATTCCAATGCTCATGTTGTTGTCAAATTTCTTGTTGATTTAAAACTTACTAGAGGTTTTGCGGTAAAGAAGATAATTTTTTGGCATTTTATTATCTTTTTCGAAAAGGATATAAACTTCATCAAATTCTACCTTAAATCAGTCTGGCGCACTGAAAGAATGATCATAAGAATTTTTCGATTGACTCCCTTGCTTAATCGTTGCAGTGAATTCCATAACTCCTAGTACACTTGTTAGAGAAGGTGACTCTTTTTTCAAATTAGAAATTTGATTGGTTGGCTAATATAGGTTGATCCATACACTTTACAAAAGTCATATATTAGCAATGCTCGAATTTGTGTAGAAATATGAAGGATGTGATTTCCATAGAGATCAAATTGGAAGAAAGGATATTCACCGTCATTTACGAAACGGTGTTGCATTACTACGTTACTTGTAATCAATCATATGGTTGATGCACCAAATAAATGTAGATCATTTTAGGCTCGTGTAGAACAAGCACATAATCTTTAGCGTCAAACAATCTCAAATTGTTATGCAAATTGGGGTCCCCAAAGCAATTCTAACGGCTATTAAAGCTTCTGTAAATCATAACGGTTTACCATCACATTAACAATTTCTTTAGCTTTTGCATAAAGCAACTAATTATTGTGGAGAAATGCCTACGGATAAGGCTACAACATATGACGGTCATCGGAGAACGAGGTCACATGATGGAGAGATTTCTAAGCATCAATTTTAGAGTGCAAGTCTTACCCTGATATTTCAAGTTTTATGGAATCTTTGTCCATACATTCTTTCAAGTTATCTTCCAAGAGCAGTGAGAAAAAAGTCTCTAAAGGGAAAGAAGTGGAGCCTAACAAGTTGGCTACCCAACCATTGGCCAATATGGATATACCTACGACAAACTCTTATTAAATTCTTTCTGTTAAGATATATTAGTACCATAATTATGGGATATGAGTAGATATTAATATATATGGGTACCATAATTATGGGATTTGATTAGAATGTAATTTTGGAATTGATTTGATTAGGTTTCCTTGTTTAGCTTATTATTTTGTGTATAAATACACATACCTCTACTGAGAAGAATACACACAAAAAGTATTCTACTACGTTCGTTGTTCATTAGTTTTAACATGGTATCAGAGCCGGGATAAAATCCTAGGCTTTTTCTCCTTCTGTCCAAAACCTCCTCTCTTGAAAATGCATTCTCCGCCGCCTCTATTCTCACCGCCCCTTCCATTCACTTCGTAGGCCGCCGATCTGCGCCATCCATCCTTTTTGCTGCCGAAAAATCGCGCGTGTGAGCTCCACGCGCCACCACCTTCCGCCGTCGTTAACCCATGCCCCGTCGCCTAAGCCTCCTTCGGTCTTTGTTTTTCCGGTGTCTTTTTCTCCGTCAGTTCGCCGGCCTCTTGCAAATCTACTTGTGGTTGGTAATCTGTTATTTCGATTAGGTTGATATCTCTTGGTGATTGTATCCCACTTTTTCTCTCTACAAAGTGTTTTTGTTCTTTAGAAGAAAAAGAATAGCTCACTTTTTCATCATCAGATTCTTCTTCAGAGGAATAAGTATTGTTTACTTCTTCATCTTCATATTGATCTTCTTCTTTGGAAGGCACCACCACCGATTGTGTCTTGTGGTTCTTCTTTATTTCTTCTTCTTCAGAATGAGTATTTGACTTCATTTTCCAACAGGATATGAGAATTCAGTAACAATGTCCCGTCGCCTACGCCCCCTTCGGTCTTTGTTTTTCTAGTGTCTTTTTCTCAGTCAGTTCGCCGGCCTCTTGCAAATCTTCTTGTGGTTGGTAATCGGTTATTTCGATTAGGTTGATATTTCTTGGTAATTGTATCCCACTTTTTCTCTCTACAAAGTGTTTTTGTTCTTCAGAAGAAAAAGAATAGCTTACTTTTTCATCCTCAGATTCTTCTTCAGAGGAATAAGTATCGCTTACTTCTTCATCTTCATATTGATCTTCTTGTTTGGAAGGCACCACCACCGATTGTGTCTTGTGGTTGTTCCTTATTTCTTCTTCTTCAGAATGAGTATTTGGCTTCATTTTCCAACAGAATATGAGAATTCAGTAACAATGTCCCGTCGCCCAAGCCCCCTTCGGTCTTTGTTTTTCCTGTGTCTTTTTCTCCGTCAGTTCGCCGGCCTCTTGCAAATCTTCTTGTGGTTGGTAATCTATTATTTCGGTTAGGTTGATATTTCTTGGTGATTGTATCCCACTTTTTCTCTCTACAAAGTGTTTTGTTCTTCAGAAGAAAAAGAATAGCTTACTTTCTCATCATCAGATTCTTCTTTAGAGGAATAAGTATTGCTTACTTCTTCATCTTCATATTGATCTTCTTATTTGGAAGGCACCACCACCGATTGTGTCTTGTGGTTGTTCTTTATTTCTTCTTCTTCAGAATGAGTATTTGGCTTCATTTACCAACAGGATATCAGAATTCAGTAACAATGTCCCGTCGCCTAAGCCTCCTTCGGTCTTTGTTTTTCCAGTGTCTTTTTCTCCGGCCGGCCTCTTGCAAATCTTCTTGTGGTTGGTAATCTGTTATTTCGATTAGGTTGATATTTCTTGGTGATTGTATCCCTCTTTTTCTCTCTACAAAGTGTTTTTGTTCTTCAGAAGAAAAAGAATAGCTTAGTTTTTCATCATCAGATTCTTCTTCAGAGGAATAAGTATCGCTTACTTCTTCATCTTCATATTGATCTTCTTCTTAGGAAGTCACCACCACCGATTGTGTCTTGTGGTTGTTCTTTATTTTCTTCTTCTTCAGAATGAGTATTTGGCTTCATTTTCCAACAGGATATGAGAATTCATAAACAATGTCCAGTCGCCTAAGCCCCCTTCGGCCTTTGTTTTTCCGGTGTCTTTTTCTCGGTCAGTTCGTCGGCCTCTTGCAAATCTTCTTGTGGTTGGTAATCTATTATTTCGATTAGGTTGATATTCCTTGGTGATTGTATCCCACTTTTTCACTCTACAAAGTGTTTTTGTTCTTCAGAAAAAAAGAATAGCTTACTTTTTCATTATCAGATTCTTTTTCAGAGGAATAAGTATTGCTTACTTCTTCATCTTCATATTGATCTTCTTCTTTGGAAGGCACCACCACCGATTGTGTCTTGTGGTTGTTCTTTATTTCTTCTTCTTCAGAATGAGTATTTGGCTTCATTTTCCAACATGATATGAGAATTCAGTAACAATGTCCCGTCGCCTAAGCCTCCTTCGGTCTTTGTTTTTCCAGTGTCTTTTTCTCCGGCCGGCCTCTCGCAAATCTTCTTGTGGTTGGTAATCTGTTATTTCGATTAGGTTGATATTTCTTGGTGATTGTATCCCACTTTATCTCTCTACAAAGTGTTTTTGTTCTTCAGAAGAAAAAGAATAGCTTAGTTTTTCATCATCAGATTCTTCTTCAGAGGAATAAGTATCGCTTACTTCTTCATTTTCATATTGATCTTCTTCTTAGGAAGTCACCACCACCGATTGTGTCTTGTGGTTGTTCTTTATTTTCTTCTTCTTCAGAATGAGTATTTGGCTTCATTTTCCTACAGGATATGAGAATTCATAAACAATGTCCAGTCGCCTAAGCCCCCTTCGGTCTTTGTTTTTCCGGTGTCTTTTTCTCGGTCAGTTCGTCGGCCCCTTGCAAATCTTCTTGTGGTTGGTAATCAGTTATTTCGATTAGGTTGATATTCCTTGGTGATTGTATCCCACTTTTTCATTCTACAAAGTGTTTTTGTTCTTCAGAAAAAAAAGAATAGCTTACTTTTTCATTATCAGATTCTTCTTCAGAGGAATAAGTATTGCTTACTTCTTCATCTTCATATTGATCTTCTTCTTTGGAAGGCACCACCACCGATTGTGTCTTGTGGTTGTTCTTTATTTCTTCTTCTTCAGAATGAGTATTTGGCTTCATTTTCCAACAGGATATGAGATTCCGGTAACAATGTCCCGTCGCCTAAGCCCCCTTCGGTCTTTGTTTTTCCGGTGTCCCTCTCTCCGGCCGGCCTCTTGCAATCTTCTTGTGGTTGGTATCTGTTATTTCGATTCGGTTGATATTTCTTGGTGATTGTATCCCACTTTTTCTCTCTACAAAGTGTTTTTGTTCTTCAGAAGAAAAAGAATAGCTTACTTTTCATCATCAGGTTCTTCTTTAGAGGAATAAGTATTGGTTACTTCTTCATCTTCATATTGAGCTTCTTCTTAGGAATGCACCACCACCGATTGTGTCTTGTGGTTGTTCTTTATTTCTTCTTCTTCAGAATGAGTATTTGGCTTCATTTTCCAACAGGATATGAGAATTCAGTAACAATGTCCCGTCGCCTAAGCCCCCTTCGGTCTTTGTTTTTCCGGTGTCTTTTTCTCCGGCCGGCCTCTTGCAAATCTTCTTGTGGTTGGTAATCTGTTATTTCGATTAGGTAGATATTTCTTGGTGATTGTATCCCACTTTATCTCTCTACAAAGTGTTTTTGTTCTTCAGAAGAAAAAGAATAGCTTAGTTTCTCATCATCAGATTCTTCTTCAGAGGAATAAGTATCGCTTACTTCTTCATCTTCATATTGATCTTCTTCTTAGGAAGTCACCACCGACGATTGTGTCTTGTGGTTGCTCTTTATTTTCTTCTTCTTCAGAATGAGTATTTGGCTTCATTTTCCTACAGGATATGAGAATTCATAAACAATGTCCAGTCGCCTAAGCCCCCTTCGGTCTTTGTTTTACCGGTGTCTTTTTCTCGGTCAGTTCGTCGGCCCCTTGAAAATCATCTTGTGGTTGGTAATCAGTTATTTCGATTAGGTTGATATTCCTTGGTGATTGTATCCCACTTTTTCATTCTACAAAGTGTTTTTGTTCTTCAGAAAAAAAAGAATAGCTTACTTTTTCATTATCAGATTCTTCTTCAGAGGAATAAGTATTGCTTACTTCTTCATCTTCATATTGATCTTCTTCTTTGGAAGGCACCACCACCGATTGTGTCTTGTGGTTGTTCTTTATTTCTTCTTCTTCAGAATGAGTATTTGGCTTCATTTTCCAACAGGATATGAGAATTCGGTAACAATGTCCCGTCGCCTAAGCCCCGTTCGGTCTTTGTTTTTCCGGTGTCTTTTTCTCCGGCCGGCCTCTTGCAAATTTTCTTGTGGTTGGTAATCTGTTATTTCGATTAGGTTGATATTTCTTGGTGATTGTATCCCAGTTTTTCTCTCTACAAAGTGTTTTTGTTCTTCAGAAGAAAAAGAATAGCTTACTTTTTCATCATCAGATTTTTCTTCAGAGGAATAAGTATCGCTTACTTCTTCATCTTTATATTGATCTTCTTCTTAGGAAGTCACCACCACCGATTGTGTCTTGTGGTTGTTCTTTATTTCTTCTTCTTCAGAGATAGTATTTGGCTTCATTTTCCAACAGGATATGAGAATTCATAAACAATGTCCCGTCGCCTAAGCCCCCTTCGGTCTTTGTTTTTCCGGTGTCTTTTTCTCCGTCAGTTCGTCGGCCTCTTGCAAATCTTCTTGTGGTTGGTAATCTGTTATTTCGATTAGGTTGATATTTCTTGGTGATTGTATCCCATTTTTTCTCTCTACAAAGTGTTTTTGTTCTTTAGAAGAAAAAGAATAGCTTACTTTTTCATCATCAGATTCTTCTTCAGAGGAATAAGTATCGCTTACTTCTTCATCTTCATATTGATCTTCTTCTTTGGAAGGCACCACCACCGATGTGTCTTTGTCTCCATCAGTTCGCCGGCGGCCTCTTGCAAATCTTCTTGTGTTTGGTAATCTGTTATTTCGATTAGGTTGATATTTCTTGGTGATTGTATCCCACTTTTTCTCTCTATAAAGTGTTTTTGCTTGATATGCTACTGCAAATCCGCCTCTGCCATTGTTGGTAGTCTTTTCCTCTGTCGTTGTTGGCGGTCTTTTCCTCTGTCTTGTTGGCAGCCTTTTCATCTGCCTTGTTGGCAGCCTTGTCTTCTGCTCGTTGGCAGCCTAGTCATTTGCTGTTGTTGGCAGCGTTGTTTGCCCTTGATTAGCAGCCTCTGCCGTTGTTGGCAGCCTAGTCATCTGCCGCGTTGGCAAGCTTTTCCTCTGCCCTTGGTTGCAGCCTTTTCTTTTGTTCGAGAAGTGAATGGTGAAATCCTATTTATCAAGGAACTTTTGTTTCTCAAGTTCTGGTGCTCGAACTGATGATCTTTTTACGAAAGTGCATTCACCAGTCGATTCAACACCCTCGTTTCCAAACTCAACTTGGTCTGTGTAGACCCAACTTGAGTTTGATGGGGGATGTTAAGATATATTAGTACCATAATTATGGGATATGAGTAGATATTAATATATATGGGTACCATAATTATGGGATTTGATTAGAATGTAATTTTGGAATTGATTTGATTAAGATATATTAGTACCATCCCTTTAATATTTATTATAAATAAATGAAACACTCATGTATATCCCAATATTACCCCCAACCATTTATACCCAATTCTTAATTGTAAACCCCAATTTAATCAATTTTGTCCACAAAAATCCAATTTTGACCACAAAAATTCAATTTTGACTTTTTTTTGGAGCATACTATAATATGCTCCAATTTCATTCTTTAACTTCATTTAATCTCAATTTGACCCCAAATTTCACAAATTATTCAATTTTGACCCAAAACTTTTTTTTTTCACAAACATTTTTTTTTCACAAACATTTTTTTTTCAAAAAAAAACAATTTTGCCGCCGGATTCCGGCACTGACCGGCGGTCAACGCCGGTCTCCGGCGTTGACTTTTCAATTTTTTTATTAATTTTTTTTTAATTTTTTTTCTTTCGGATTTTTTCGCCGGTTTCCGGCGTTGATTTTTTTTTAGTGTTTTTAAAAAAAAAAATTGGTTTTTTTTTTTTACGTCCGCCGCTAAACGTTGACCGTAATTGTGCTGTCACTGACAGTAAATTAACGTAATTGTACTGCCGTTGACAATACGTTTATGTAATTGTGCTGCCCTTGACAGTAAATTAATGTAATATTATTATTTTTTATTTTTTGTTGTTTTTTTTTATTTTGTTTGATTTGTTGACAAGTCAACGTAATTATATTACTGTCGTTGACAGTAAAATAACTGTAAACACAATAATATTACTGTCAACAACATCAATATAATTATTTTTTTGGGTTTTTCGTTTTGTTTGAGTTATTCACGGAGTAACGTAATAATATTACTGTCTATTATTGTAATATTACTGTAAACACAATAATATTACTGTGGTTGACGGTAATATTACTGTTGTTATAGTAATATTGATGTCAACCACATCAATATTATTATTTTATTTGTTTTTTTTGTTTGTTTGTGTTATTCATGGAGTAACGTAATAATATTACTGTCTATTATTGTAATATTACTGTGGTTGACGGTAATATTATGTCGTTATAGTAATATTACTGTCACTCACAGTAATATTAATTCTTTTGGTTCTTTATTATGTTTACATTTGTTGAACGGTCAACATAGTAATATTACTCTATTACATAATAATAATGAGTTTCGTTGTGTTAATATTACTGTGCTAGAGATTAATATAGCAATATTACTGTGTTAAACTGTAGTTTAGTTTACTTTTACTGTGTTTAACAATAATATAGTTAATATTACTGTCAATCACAGCAATATTGTTGTTTAGACGAAAAAAAAAGGTTACAGAAAGAAAGAAAAGAAGAAAAAAAATCGAAAAAGTCAACGCCGGAAACCGGCGAAAAAATCCGGAAGAAAAAAAAAATATATTGAAAAGTCAACGCCGGAGACCGGCGTTGACCGCCGGTCAACGGCGGAATCCGGCGAAAAAAAAAAGTTTTTGAAAAAAAAAAAATTTGAAAAAAAAAGTTTTGGGTCAAAATTGAATAATTTGTGAAATTTGGGGTCAAATTGAGATTAAATAAAGTTAAGGATGAAATTGGAGCATATTAAAGTATGATGGGTTATTTTAGTCCTTTACAAAAATCTGGACCATGTGTGGACTTATTGGTAAATAAGTTTTTTATCTTGATCTCTTTATAAATAAGTACCAAATTATGGGCTTATTTGTAAAGACCCCTAACTGAAACATATCTTGGCCGTTCTCACCATATTATCTGCATCAAATACAAGAATGAAAAAAATAGGTTAAATTACACCTACACCCCTGAACTATGCTAAAATAATTTTAAGGTTCCTGTGGTATCTGTAATTATAATGACTCCCCCTGAAACATTGTTAGAAACTTTAACGGGATAACATATTAGATAGGTTTAGGGATGATAGTGGAGCAGGTACCCTCGAAAAAGTGTAATACCAAAACCATTACCATTTAATATAGCTCAAACCAGAACCATACCAAACCCATTAAAAAAGCTTATCGGAATACCAGAACCATTACCACCAATATCCGGATTACCAACGGGTAACCATTTACCATTTAAATTATGGCGATATCAAATAACTTGGGGGCAGTAACTTTTCAGTACCTCTCAGAAAACAAGAAAAAAATTAAAAAGATGCAAAAAATTTAAGTAAATTATACAAAATGAAATCACACACTATATAAAAAATAATGTTCCAAGGCAACAAAATAATGATTAAAAAGCAATATCCACTACAATATATTGAAAATATATTTTAAAGTGTGAAATTTAGGATACACAATTGACTCGAATGATACGAAATTCGTTATGTACTCGAGTAATTCATGTAGTAGTAAATTTATATTTCCCTAGATTATTTAATAATTTATTCAAAAATTGTGCCAATTTTTTTATTTATATTATGTTGAATTAAAAATAATATATTTAAATGTATATATACATATATATTAAATGATCGGATAACCATGACCGTAAGGATAACACCAGAACTATACCAAAATCGTGACGGTTTGCATTTTTTTTTTACCAAAATCATTACCAAGCCAAAATGGTTCCGATAGCGGGTTTTAAATGGAGCGGATACCCATGGTTATCTAGTGGATAGGGATTTTTTCCATCCCTGAATAAGTTATTTCGTTAGGATTCTAACGGACTATTAGTTTCATGAATTGGTAGTGACAATATAGAGTTAGGGATTGACATGCCACCCCAACATTTCTTAAATTCTTACTATTTTATATAAGATTTATAAATTTTCATCTATGGTACCATTAACGGTCCCGTGGATAAAAAATATAATGGTGCATATCGGTTCCAAGGACATGAAATTTTGGCTCCAGTAATTGCTTCAGGGGTGTAGCTGTAATTACCATTACTACAAGGAGTTTAAGTTATTTAAGCATACCTTAGGGGGTGTAGATAAGGGTGTGAACGAGCCGAACACGCCTCTTTTGGTAGGCTCGAGCTCGAGCTCGAGTCTATTTTGTCGAGCTTGAGCTCGTCAAGTTCGTTTTTTTTTGGCTCGAGCTCGAGCTCGTGCCATTTTGTCAAGCTCGAGCTCAAACTCATTTTGTTGTTGTTTTTTTAAAATATTTTTTTAATTATTATTAAAAATTATTTAAACAAAATTACAAAATAAACAATATTTGTAAGTATATATATTTTTAATATTTAAATTTTATTTTTATTTATTTCTATAATATTTCATATTATAATATATTATTTAAATAAAAAAATAATATATAAAAAAATAATAAAAACATAAATATAATAAATAAGGCTCGCGAGCTAGCTCGTGAGCTCACGAATAACTAAAATCTTGCTCGAGCTTAAAAAACTCGAGTTCGAGTTCAAGTTTTTTTCGAGGCGGCTCATCGGGCTCACGAGTCGGCTCGGCTCGTTTGTGTAATTTAAAAAATATATATATATATATATATGTAGTGAGAGAAAAGTTAATTTTGTTGACCAAATTTTCAACGCGTGCCCACCAAGGCTTGACCAATAACGATGAAACGCCTTCCACGTGTAGATCACTCATTGGCCAAGGCTTGGAAATGAAAAAATACCTTGTTGAAGAGATTCTCTAAATTTTTTGGAGAATCATTCCAAGGATCCGACTCAGTGTAATTTGTCACAGCTATAAATTAATCCCAGCAAACAATAAACTAGGGTTTATCACATTGCTATCTACACACTTGCCCCCAAAAGAAAACAACAAGAGGTAAAAGAAAAAAAAATGTCGATGGATTCAACGCCGACGCCGCCGGCGCTGGATGGTCTGACCATCAGCGACGCCGTACAGGAGGCGCAGTTTTCTCAGCGCGTTCCGATCCAGTACATTCTAGGCCGGTCCGACAAGGGGGCCGGGTTGGCGGGTCAGAAGGTCCGAATCGGGGGATGGGTGAAGACCGGGAGGGAGGCGGATAAGGGGAGGTTCGCCTTTCTAGAGATCAACGACGGCTCCTGCGCCGGAAATCTGCAGGTGATTGTGAAGTCGGAGCTTTACAAGCTGAGCGACGTCGTTCAGACCGGGACCTGCGTCCACGTGGAGGGTTTGCTGAAGTCTCCACCGGAAGGCGTGAAGCAGAGGATCGAGCTCGATGTCGAGAAGGTTTTGGATGTGGGGACTGTGGATGCGGCAAAGTACCCTTTGCCGAAGACCAAATTGACTCTCGAATTTCTCAGGGATGTTGTTCACCTTCGCTCCAGGACTAACACGGTATCGATTTCCTTTAATTTTTATACATTTTTTTTTCTTTTTTGTTGAATTGATTCGCATACTTGTGTTTGTGTGAATGTGTGAAGAGTGGGTGTTGCTGAACTATTGAAAATGTGCTTTGGGTTAGAGGTGTTGCTGTTTTGATTGGAAATTGTTTGGGTTTCAATTTATTATTTTTTTAAATCTGGTATTTGGGGAAGGAAAAGCAAAAAAGTTAGTTCTTTGTAATTTGTAAATACAAGATTATGAGGGAACACTTCTAAAACCGAATTATGTACTTGCTAGTAACTAAATACATATACAGGTATTTTTTGCAAGAATGTATACTCACATTTGTAATGTTCTAATTAATAATTGGTGCTTTTCTTTGGTCGGAAGTAAGTGAGAGATATCTATATTCAATTTTGTTTGCTTCTTTTCAACCAAATCTTGTTCCAAACAGTAGTTCTATATCAATTCTTCGAGTGGTTAGTTCATACGTGTAGAGTGTTTACGGTCGAGCAATGTTTTGCAGATTCTTTTGGAGTTTCCTTTTTCTTTGTTTTAGTAGATTACTCTTTTGCCAGAGATGAGGAACAAAGAAGTTGTACATAATGCAAGAATGTTTATTTAATTGTTAGCTTGTATGAACCATGCTGTTTGTGCTTATGAAGTTTTCTCATTCTTGAATTGAATAGCATGAAGATTGAGGCTTTCTGACTATTTGCTTTCCTTTGCACCTATTACTTTCACATAGAAGTTCATGCCCTCCTTAAGAGACTCACATGAAAATGAATGTTTTCTGATTATATCTTGTGTCTGCACTTAATTCCTTCATATGGAGAAGGTTTGACTATACATAATCAAGAAGGCCGTTGAGATGGTCGACATATTGGAAAATTGATATAACTAGGTCATGTGTCACACCAACTTTATTTATCAATTATCATGTAGGTGTCGGTGCTGCTTTTAGAGCTGCTAGTTATAGGATAAAGGTGTTTGAGTCTTGCTCGAAGTAGGAGTAAAATCAGAACTGATATCTAAACCATTATTTTGTTTCAATTTCCAATCCGGTTGGCTGTTGCAAATAAGAAAGTACGGGATAGACATCTCTAGATGTTGATTCTAGTAACTCTTGTGCAATCCCTCTCATTATTTATGGTAATTTATTTTTGCAATATTTCTCTTGCTACTCTTCCTTTTGTTAGTTATGGTAGTAAATTTATTTCTCCAATTTTTCCCTTACACTTCTCTATTGCAATTTTCTGACTATTACGATGTTTTCTTTTGGTATCTTAGATTTCTGCAGTTGCTAGAATCCGTAATGCCCTGGCATATGCTACCCACACATTCTTCCAGAAGCACGGTTTCCTTTACGTGCACACTCCTATTATCACAACCAGTGATTGTGAGGGTGCAGGGGAGATGTTTCAAGTCACAACACTAATTAACGACTCGGAAAAATTAGAGAACGATCTGAAAAAAACCCCACCTCCTTCAGAAACCGATGTAAAGGACGCTGAGCTGGCTGTGAAGGCGAAAGGAGAAGAAGTTGCTAAGCTAAAATCTGCTAAAGCAAGCAAGCCGGAGATTCTATCTGCTGTTGCTGAGCTTACTAAGGCTAAAGAGAACTTCTCGAAGCTAGATGAGAGATACAAGCAGGCAGAGAGAATTAAGCTTGGAGGTGGCCTTCCGAAGAAGGATGGGAAAATTGATTACTCCGAAGATTTTTTTGCCAGGCAAGCATTTTTAACTGTGTCGGGGCAACTGCAGGTTGAAACATATGCTTGTGCTCTCAGTAGTGTGTACACTTTTGGGCCAACTTTTCGAGCAGAGAACTCGCACACTACAAGACATCTTGCTGAATTTTGGATGGTTGAACCTGAAATAGCATTTGCTGATATACAGGTATGATATCCTGGAAACACTTTAAATCTTTCTATGTACTTGCATATTAGTTTTGGATATCTGTAAAAATAAAGGCAAGTTTACTTCGTCTGCCGAAGTTGCATAAGATCCTGCTTCATCCAGTGGCATTTTACCAAAATCTAACATTTACCAAATTTTAATAAAAAATACCTTAGATTTTTTTTATTTTTTTTTGAAATGTAAATTTGGCACTATGTTTTTATAGGTAGTTTCTGTGTTGAGAGTTCATGATTATAAACCATTTATGGTTACATCATGCCCAAGCTCGAAAACTTAGTGATTTTGTTTATTATTGACTTTTATTTGTTCTTGATTCTTTCAAGTATCTTTATCACGGCAGATAACATAGTTGAAGAACTTTTGTAGGATGACATGAACTGTGCAGAGGCGTACGTGAGATTTCTTTGTCAGTGGTTGCTCGACAACTGCTATGACGATATGGAGTTCATGACCAAATTCATCGACAAAACTGCTATCCAACGACTTGAAATGGTTGCAAAATCCAAGTTCCACAGAATAACTTACACGGAGGCAGTTGCCATTCTCGAGGAAGCATCTAAAGTGAAGAAGTTTGACAACAAAGTAGAATGGGGTATCGATCTAGCTTCTGAACATGAAAGGTATAACCCTTTCTCTCTGTATCCAGCCTGTGGTTTTACTTTCTTATCTTCTGTCCATAAAGCTCGAGGTTTATAATACATTGTTGTCTTACTCCCAAATTAATCAAACAGATATCTGACTGAAGAGAAATTCAAAGCACCCGTTATTGTTTACAACTACCCGAAAGCTATTAAAGCCTTCTACATGAAGGTCAACGAAGACAATAAAACTGTTGCAGCAATGGATGTGCTTGTACCTAAGGTCTTACTTACCCCTCTCTCTCTCTCTCTCTCTCTCTCTCTCTCTCTCTCTCTCTCTCACACACACACACACACACACACACACACACACACAAAAAAAAAAAAAAAAAAGATATTTTAAATCTAATTTCATGAATGTTTATGTAATTGACTTTCTTATGCGAACGTTAGGTGGGAGAACTTGTTGGAGGAAGCCAGAGAGAAGAGAATTACGAGGTTCTAAAGGAAAGGTAAGAGAAGTTTCTTTGTAAGTTAATTCTGGTAATTCGTAACGAACGAATGGGTTTTGAGACTTAGTGTAATTTTCAGGATATTGGAGATGGGGCTTCCGCTTGAGCCATACCATTGGTATCTTGACCTACGAAGCTATGGTACAGTGAAGCACAGTGGGTTTGGCCTTGGATTCGAGCGCATGATTCTTTTTGCCACGGGCATCGATAACATTAGAGATGTCATTCCCTTCCCCAGATACCCCGGCAAAGCAGATCTTTGAAATCACACTCTACTCGTATGGTTTGTTCAGATATTTATTCTTAGCACTAGATATTTTAGTATTGCGATTTGCATTTGTGAAAAACAAGCTTTATACATCATGTTGGGTTTTTTTTTTCAATACAGAAGAAATCATGATAGTAATCTGTTTTAATCTTTTGTTTGGGGATTGTTTTTATTGCTTGCTTTCTATTTGTGATAAAAATGTGTTTGGCTGTTCATGAAGGGGTTCGGACTTTCGCCTTTTATGGACGAATTTTGACCTCTTCATTTATTAGGGAAAATTAGCTAATAGTCCCTATGTATGGACTATCATATTGTCAAATTAGACATCGTTTGGTTGGAGAGATTTGTCATGATAACCAAATAATTAGACTTCTCGGGTTGACTCGAAAATATTATGTTATCATGTTGTATCTCGTCTTTTAGGGAGTTTTTTCATTGGACTGGCAATCAAACGAGCCCCGAGAGTTTATCTGGGCAGATAGAATCTAGATCATTGTGTTTTGGGACATATGTATATTCACTTGCAAATCAGCTAGCTATATATGTGATCACACTGTTGGCTCTATCATCTATTTATTAAAATCCGTTATAATTGTTTTAATATTAATTACTACGTGTAGATTACATTGGAAATTTTGCATCCAGCATACTTATGATTGTTGTTTTTGAATTTAATATTTAAAGAAAACAAAAGTATGTAGGAAGAGAGTAGATATGGACAAAAACAAATTGAGGTAGAATTAGGATGGGAAACAAATCATTAAAAATACGAAAATGCTATTCATTTTACTATCTTGCAGTGCACTTTTTTTTCATTTGTAAATTTTTTTAAGAAAAAATTCAAAATCCTTTCAAACTATCTCCAACCCTCTTCAAATTTCCGCGAATCAAACGAGCAATCCGACAACGATTTGCGGTAAAACTCGAAATCTATTACGTCAATGCAATGTTTTATTATTTTCTTGTTAACAAATTGCATCAAGTAGAGGCAGATTTAGGTCGATTTGATGGAAACCGAAAAAAACTTGTGCTTCGTGCAAAAAAACATGAAATTAACCTCTTTATTTCGTGATTTTTCGCACGGAACACACGTTTTGTTTCGATTTCCGCTTCATTTCCTGTAGATCTACACGAAATGAAACTTAAATTTCATGGTGTTCTACACGAAACAGTGTTTTTTTTTTTTTTTGTTTTTTTTTTATAATTTACTTATTAATATTATTTATGAATTCAATTAACTTATTTAATGTCTTATTTGATACATGGCATACAAAGGCAAAAGGCACTTACGCCAGCAGTTCGTGCCGAGCAACAAAAGTGGGAACAGATGACTATATCTACATGATGTAAGAGAGAGATAGAGAGAGCTGCTGCAACTGAGAAATCAGTTCTAATGTCGGGCCTTCCCATGTATGGAGGAGGCCCTGGACCTTGTTCACAAGACCGCGGTTGTAGCTCGTGGAGGTCGAGCATGGGGCCGTGGAAATCGATGTCGTGGTCGTGTCAATCCGTTTGTGCTAGATGGTCCCTTTTCGGGTGGCTCATGGGATCTCATTTTGATTTCGAGTTTCAAGTCGCACGTAGCATACATTTGGAGGGCAGACGTACGTAATTACTTATTTTAATTTTAATTTTAATATTTAATTATTATATCTTATATTTTAATATTTAATTGTTTAATTAACTAATATGTGTTCTAAATCACTTATTGCAGGAACGTTCGGTGGGACAAGTGGAAGCCCGTATAAGCTATCTAACCCCTCTGTTACTTCTTCACAAACCCTCCCTCTCACTCATGTTTCTTCTTCTTCTCTTCCTCCTACCTCCTGCTTCTTCTTTCTTCTTTCTCTTCCTTCTTCTCATTCTTTTTTTTCTTCCTTCTTTTCATTCTTCTTCCTCATCCTCATCCTCCTCCTCCTCCTCCTCCTCTAAATATACTTGGCTGGATCTATCATAATAAAATTAAAAATATGTGATGTATATATGTCATTATGTAAGGGTGAACTCTCATTACTCGCAATACATGGACTATCAAAACTAATCATCCAGAATTAGAAATATAATGTAATCCGTGTTAACGATCTCATTTGTAAATGCCAATATAGTTCTTTCTCTTAAATAGTTAGAATATGTCACATTGGCCAAAAAGTTTGGTCATACAACTTCTGCAAGAGATGCTTTATATGATCACCTAATGATTGTATGAGCAGATCTTTAAGAATGTTAAATTCAGTCACCCCATCATTCGCATCACCAGAAATACCATCACATATACTCAATATCCAATCTGAGAAATTCTTCACGTCAGCACAATCAGAATTTGTCGAACAAAGCCGCATATTTTTTCATCAATTTTAGTAATTTACAGTTCCTCCACAAATATGGCGAATTTATGATTGCAGACACATGTTATTGCCTTGGTCCTTTTGGAATGACAACTATGATTTGTCTAAAATCACCCCAAAAAACAACTATTTTACCGTGCTTTAATTAATATATCCCTCAAACTTCTAACCATACACTCAAAGAAATACTTGTGAGTCATCGGAGCTTTCCCAAATGATCAACTTCACCTTGATTATCAAATCGGCTAAGGGAGTGTCATACATAATGTTGCAAGTTTATTCCTCATCAATGTTGAAAAGGATTGCGAACCTAGAGTGCATGGTTCTTCGACCTTGAACCAATAAAGCTATCCCACTTGAAGCTACTATAAATACTGTTTCACCCTTTAATCTTAAAGAAGCAAAAAATGTTCTCCAGACAAGTGTCTTACCAGTACCTTCATAACCTTAAATGAAAAGTAAACCTCCATGCTTCTCATTTATACAACGCATAATAATATCATATATAATAATTTGTTTGTCATTAAGGCTTGAGGTAAATCTAGCATATTTGACAGCTAATTCACTTATAAGTTTATTTTGAGCTTGGACAATAATAGACATATTTGGAAAAAAGCAATGTGGGAAACTCTAATAGACTTCTATTTCTACTTGGCAAAATATAATTTTCATATATAAATAATCGAAGGAAAAAAAATACTGTATAAACATATAACATATTAAAACAATATATGGAATATAACTGTCACGTCGAAGTAATGTTCTCTCCTACATAAGATATCATTGCTTAAATGACGCCAATTTTTTTTCTCAACCAATTTCTGGCCGTGCAATATAACTTGATATGATACGAACTCCGTAGAACTTGTTACGAAACCCAATATCTTACACGGAAGCAAAATCGAAATATCCAAAAATACAAGGAATCAAATTGGCGGAAGTAAGGAATAATGACCCCATAACAATAAAGAGCGAGAAACCATTATTATCAAGGTGGAATATTGACCCCGTGGTTTTAAAGAACCAGAAACCAATATTTTGGCGCTAAGAAAATTACAAGAATCCACTAGTAAAATTCTGAAGTTTGATGTAGAACAGCCAAGGAGAATTAATATCACCAAACACTCAAACTATCATTAAAATTTGTTCAGTAATAAAAGGCCAAACTAGCAACCTATTTATAAGTGCTAAAAAGATTTTTTTTTTTTTTTTCACAAGGAAATGACTCTTACCTAATCTATAATAAGGAAACTTATAAATAAGCAAATCCTACCTATAAAAGAACTCTAAAATAATAAAACATAATAAATCCTAAATAAAAAACGTGCATAAGTAAATTAAATAACTTGATCTCAAGTCGACTTCCCGATCACTCTTGTACGCATAGACATTTGGTTGTGCGCTTGCAGGCACTTAAAGCTCAATTTCGACATTGTTCTACTTCGAATCTTTCTTCGCTCAAAACATGAAAGTTGTAGATATTTCAGTTGGCGTTCCTTAGCAATTGAAATCATCTTAATTGGACATCAGATGGCAGAGTTATAACTTGAATTTTAAAATTGTCAGATATGCGAGAATCTCGGATGCATGGAATTTGACTTGTCCAAGGAATTCTCTTCTTTCTTATCTTCCAATTCTTCACCATGGACTCTCAAATGTCTTATTCGAGCCTTTATGCTTCAAGACCAACTCGAATAACTTCTTTAAACTAGTACGCTTTCGCCTTTTCCAATTCTTCATCTATGAGCTTGTCAGGATCGTATTACGGTACCAACAATGTTGAGAACAAATATCGTAGGTATGTAGCATATCCCCAACGACTTATTTCTGCAATCCCGTCTACGGTCTATGTCATCATCTAACGAAACTAATTGCATAGCGAACATCTCCATAGGGTAAGTTACATTATTGATGATTCTCCACCGCGTATACGAACAAGGCCCTTTAGCTGTAGTAAAGATTCTTAAATAATATAACTCACCACTCCTTGAAGGTACATAATGAACTCTTACAACTGAAAATTCTTATTTTCTTGGACGCCATGCATGCTTTTGTTGTTTCCAAACAAATATGATTGAAAATTGAGCATTATAAGTAAAGGACTTTGCCTCACTATATATACTATTTGCTTGCATCTATGCTAGAAACTTGGATTGGTGTCGATGTGGTCTCTCCATAACTGATTTAATTGGGTCATCATCACTGAAAACTAGAATATATTTTCTAGAATGACTACCAAACCGAAATACTCTCTACACTGCTTCACATGGTAATAAGTATCTACAATCAAAGTAAATCTTAATTCAATCAAAATCTTCTGACTGAGCCTTGTCCGATCCGGTTTGATAAAAACTGCAGTAACGCGACCATTACCTTTGCTAACATATTTGAAAATATACTTAAATGAACTGGATTGGTTGCACCACTCAATCTTATAAGGCGCAACAAATCAATAATCCACAACATGTTTTCAATTTTTTGACCACATTTCCATTATCACTCATTCGGTAGAGTGGATAGCCATCTTCATGATTCGATGTTCGATTTGTTTTGGGACGTATATTTTTTTTGTATCGAGCTAGACGCACTTCTGATTGTCCATGTGCTCTCTTATTCCAAGGCCGGCCATTGGACATTGCATCCGGTCCGTACTTCTATCCGGTCCAGACTCTCCACTTTTTAGTACCGAATCACACCTACGCACTGGTAGGGGAAATCTATCTCACATGCCTTGACGGATCTGGGGGCCCCAGACCCGTTCCGGACTCTGCTCAGCAACCTTGTTCCCCCACCAGATCAGTATCCTCGAACATCATGATCAGCCTGCATAGTCGGCCTTCCGGCAACGCCCCGACTAGGTTTTCTTCCATGATTGGACACCGGTTTTGGATCGTTCACTCGGAACTTTTCTGAAAAGTTCTGAGTACATTACAAGAATTCCAGAGCTGCCGAGCCAGCCTATTTCACCGAGTCCGGTTATCTCGTACAGTTCTTCTTTCGGTATAGTTTGCGATCCACCCACTTAGATAGGGTTGACACGTTCTTACATTTTTTTTGACTCAACTTGCGTACTAGGCTTACACTTCACACGCTTGGATCTTCATTTACATTATTGATTTCAGCAGATATTTATTATTATATCAATATTCTCTGGATTTGGATATTTGTAATCAGAATGTAAAAAAATAAATATATAAACATGTGGTAGTCCTCGTTCTGAAATTCAAATAGTGTATATAACAACACAAAATGTTGCAAGTAATGGTACTAATACACGGTGGTATTGAAATATTAATTTGTGTAACATAAATACAACATTTTTTTATATTTTAGTGTTAAGGTAACCTTTTTTTTATAATACACTTTTGTATATACATAGGGCTGGCAATCGGGCCGTGTAAGCCGAGCCTGGGTCGGCTCAAGCTCATATACCATCGGGCCTCATTATTATAGGCTCAAGCTCAAATACCATCGGGCCTCATGCCTATAGGCTCAAACTCGGCTCACGTATTTTTTCGGGCTTCGGGTTTATATCGGGCTTATATCGAACAATAAACAAATTACATATTTTACAACTTTGCAGTCGACATGTTAAAGAAAAACAAAAAAAAACTTCGCAGTCTAAGCGAAAAATCTAGACTATTCATTGAAAATCAAAATAAGCTTAAAAAATTAATAAATAAATTAAAAAAAATCATAGTCTGTTCATTAAAACAAACAAAGCTAATGTTGCAAATATTTAATCCTTAATTAATTATACTAAAAAAATGCATCCGAGTCCAAAATGAAAAAAAAAATAATAAAATAAAATAACTAGAAGCAATTCTTAATGTCCTCTAACTCTTTTCAAAAATCTTGAGACCTGAAATAAAAAAAAGGACAACAAATATATATAGTCGGGCTTTATTCGGGTCGAGCCATGGTAAGCTCAGACTCGGCTCATAGTTTAATCGGGTTTAATAAAACGACTCAAACTCGGCCCGGCTCACCATTAATGGGGCTCGGCTCAAATAAAATCGGGCCGAGCTATCGGGCTTCGGGTAGGCCCGGCTCAATTGCCGGTCCTATATATACATATAATTTTTCCAATAAAGCAATTACGTGATTTCGACAAAATTAAATGTATGTGAGCTTTGAAAAAGTAGTAAAATAATTTCATAATATTTGATTTAGCTTTTCTGAATACTTTTCACTCTTTTATCTTCTTGATCAGTTGATCGAGTTTTACTTTCAAAACTCTGACAAACAATATCTGGTATATCTTCAGGTTTCAAATATAATCACGATCCTTTAGTATTCTTGTTATCTTTATCCAACATGTGTTGCAGATGAAAGTCACAAACAAATCAAGATATTCGGCACATCTGCATATAGCCATTGCATCTTCGTAATTTTGGATCATACCGCAATGGCCACCCGTGAATGTAGGAGGTATTATGATTTGTTTGGCCCCTTTTTGAAGAGTCAATTTCGCCTTTCAATATTGCTACTAGGAAACCCTGTACATTTCTGCTCGTAATTCTTTTTGTTGTTTTCAAATGTATGCCAAACGTACGATTCCGGCCATGGTAAAAGTATCAACCAATAATTGTTGGACAAACGTTTGAAACCAAAAAAGATTCCACTCTCTTTGGGTCGTTGTTGAAGTCGATACACCAATAATTCTCTCATTGAAACCGTCCATCTCTTTTTAGATGACGAATTGAGTTTTAACTTTTAGTGCAATGTCGTTCCTATACCCATCTTCTCCACATGAAAACAATAAATGATATTGTAATGGAACATAAGCAGGAGATAATATAGAGACACGACACAATGTGCCAGATTGTCTCCACAATAACATCTCTCTCGAGGTCAGCACAACCAAAGTTACCAACTATAAGTGCTGCAATTTCGGGTGCATAAGGGAAATTGTATTTTCTACCATCACGGGCCCTCTTTTTCTATAAATTGTAATTTCAACTTTATCTCTAACCATTTTATACGATTGTGGGTAGTGGTAATTTTCTCTAACCATTTTATACAATTGTGGGTAGTGGTAATTTTGTCAAATTGTACTTATGTCAATAAGTTTTTCAAATTCTTTGAAATTTGATCCCTACTCCTCTTAAGTTCTTCTCATAAGTGGATGAACTTCTCAGTTACACATTTATGCTAGTTGCTGCATAGAAAAACATGTACATCAAATAAAATCCATCACTCATCATGCACCAATCTCAAACTTCTAATACACAAAATCTTACAAGAAATTGTCATTTCACTAGTTTAGGTTTTTACCAAACTAGTGAAATATTTAAACAAGCTGAAATCTTGAAACTTCGAAAAATTGTATGGTATCAAATGAATGTAAACCTACGCAAACTTAGGTTACTGGACTTGATCGATGATCCCATTTCAAGAAGGAAAAACACCAAACAATTTATATGGCGACAAGTAGCAGAAGGAAAATATTTGGTATAATGAATGATTTGTCATAAAAAAAGTGAGGAAAGGTTAGTATTCTCCTATAGCCAAAATAAAACTTCAAAGAAAATGATCTCCGAAGATCTGCGTCATTCCCAACATTTTAACTAACAATGTTTTTTAGCAGATATATCAATCACATAAAGCTGAGATTCAGAGTCACTAGTCACTGAAAATCGAATTTTGAGGCCACCTTTCATGATTTTTTTACTAAAGCGAGACGAGTACAATTAAAATCTTCCTAATTTTGAAGTGATGTGATTGAGTCGAGATGTATGAATATGACCATCGACTAGGATTTGGTAGCTCGTCGAGAGTATCTCCATAGAGAAAGAGCCAAAACTACTGAGCCAGCAATGCCAACCAAAATCTGCAGCAAGAGAAAAATTAATATTGTGGAATTTCAAAATGTTCAATAACATATCGGTAAAACCAACGAAACAACTGTAGGGATATGTTTTGGGCCCCTTTTTGCTGCTATATTTTCATTAAGGAAAATTATGTTCTATAAGTCAAAACAATATATGTATGTATGATTGGAGAAAGGTATTATGGATGACGATTTTGAGATATACGATATTTTTTCTTTGCATTGTAAAAACGTAGAAAAAGGTTCAAAGCAACTTTTGATTTTTTCCAGGTTATTTTAAGTCCGATTTGAGAAGCTATCTAAACTTGTTTTCTCTAAGCAAGTTGAAAAATATAAATTTGCTTGAAGGAATAAAGCCAAGTATCATAAGAACTGACCTTTGAATCTTTAGAGGTGATGAAAGATTTCAATTTCGTAAAACGGGATGACTGAGGCATTAGAATGACAACAGTGTACTGCTTTTTGCAAGGGAAAGGTATTATTCTTCGCAATGCTGACTGAGCTGTTAGTGGTGTCAATCTATTTCTTACTCCTTTACGTCCCTCGTCTTGAATCTGCAAATTGTAACCGCAAATATGTTACCTCATAAACAACTTTCAAAATACTGTTTCAATAAATTCTATCAACATTAACCTAAAATGAAGGAAAAAAACACAATGACCCTGAGAAACAACATAATAAGGTTTTCGACTAGAAGAATAAATCGAATTCAAGCAGTTACATTTAATTAGTAGTGTAAGTGGAAAAATTATATTAAACCTTGAAAGAAGCGTCAATATCTCCAGAATAAATCCTCGATTGATAGCAGCGCAAAACTCTTTCCAACCAATAATAGTTTTCCTGAAAGAGCAGCGTTTAGTAAACCAAGAAAATCATACTAGTTCATTGTAAATGTAATTAAATGCATTTGACAAGTTTGTGTCATTTTCTCCCACATCGACAAAGTGAAATAATATTATCGGCACGAAAGTCCATTTGCAAGAAGTGTACCTGCAAACCGTTTTCATGGGCCCTTTGTTCAATTTCAAGGATGGCCGCCACGTCATCATCTGAAGGTCCCTCTTCTTGAAGATGCAAGATTTCATCCAAGGCAAGATTAACCTGTACGATGATATCATCTAATTGCCAAACTAAGATACCAACTTAATTGACCGAATGAGTAAAAAAAAACAAAAATAAATAAATAAGAACTTGCCAGTGTTGATGAGATTTCCGGATCACAAGAAAAATTAACACTAATATCTCCACGAATGTTGCCGACTTTTGAAGGTTTGTTACCACCGAGGAACACAGAAACTCCAGCCGAGTAAATCTAGGAAATCACATTCTTCTCAATAAAACTAAGACACGCATATTTGAATATTATTTTATTAACAATAAGATTTCATTTTTTTTCATTCGCGTACCTGTCCATGCTTAAAACGAAGGACTTGCAGTATCTTTGTTTCCAGAAGCTTGCTCATTAATCCAGTCAAGTGAATATCTTCCATCTAGAATACAAATAAAAGCAAAAGATTTTATTTGGTGAAAAAGAAAAATTACGTTCCCATTCCTACTAAGTTTAAAATGGTCCCGCCAAATTTATATTGTTCAAAGTTAGATATGTAAGGTGTGGTGGTACCATATTTTCATTCTTGAGCTCAACCGGAAAGCAAAGCTGGACTGAACACTGGGCTTGCACCATGGGGCTCCGAACAACTTCCCTGCAAGCACGTTAATAAATGTGATGAATATGTGGGTTTGCAGTTAATAAATGGTTACACAAACAAAAAATGCCATCAACCTAAAGGAAACACAGACAAGGACATAATTTAATTTTTACCCCCGGCCAATTGTATTGGATTCTTCCGTATGGGACCTTTTTTGTCTTTGTTTGACCCCAAGAATGGATTTATGTTATAGGCCATTCATAAGGACAATTTTTAATAATAAAAATAATTAATAAATTAAGAGAAAAAAAAAAGATAAAAAAAACTGTTCCAACTCACGAGCTACAAAAACAAGCACAACTATGAAAATTTGTATTTTCCTTACATGTAAGAGAAACATCCTAACTGCTAGAGAATCAATGTGAAGTTAAAAGTTTTGAAGTACCTAATTACAGTGGAAGGAAAAGTAAACGGTAAGCCTTTGAGTTCGTCGCGCTTGAAATTCATAATTGGCGTGGGAGGTCTTGGTATCCCTCCCTGCATCAAATTTAAAAAGAAAAATGTAAGTAAAAAAGATGGATCAAAATCACCCAAGAGCTTTTAGACGAATCTACCCAACTTACTAAATATTGCAGTATCAATGGACAAGCAATGGATGGGTCAATATTCCCGACAATGGCAACAGTAAAAGTCGAGGGATCCTTAAAGCAATTGTTGAAATATTCACAAGCTGTAAACGGATCAACTTTCCGTAGATCGTTGATTTTGATTGGCTGTGAGGAAAAAAAAACAACCATATTGGTTTTCAAAAGGTGTACAATAAATAAACAATTAACCTAATAAGGATAGATAGGTCACCCGAAAAAAATAGGAGTTCCCGTAATTGATCTCCCTCACACGATTGGCAAAAACAGTGTAAGGATCTCTCTCTTGTGCACGAACAGATTCTTCTGCCATTTGCATCACTATTTTCACATCCTCTTCCCCTGGTTCTGGCTTCGTAACGAAAAGTTGATATACCAACTAGAAAAAAAATAGTTAATAAAATAGTGGATTAATAGTCAATTAATAGTTTGATTAGTTAGATAATCAGATCTTGATATAATTTGCAAATTGATTTAACAGACCTTGTTAGAAATCCACTAATCAGAAATGATTTAATGGCTTGACAAATCTAATTTACCATACTACAGAATTTAAATTCATATAGCAGAAATAAATCCATATAAAGATAGAACCATTGTATTTAAATCAAGATCTTCTTTCACACTATGTTACGTTGAAAGTTTGTATCAACATATGCTTCTCTTGACAATAGTATGTAGAAAAGAATAATGTAAGCTAATCGTTCCTCTTTGAAAATCTGAATTTGGGACTTACTAATCACTAAATTAAACTCGTTGAATATGACGAAGACAATGTATCGAAGAAAAGAAACCTGCAATGCAGTTTCCAAGTCTGAAGGAGAGCAATCGCCAGAAAAGCTTCGCATATATGCTCCAATGCTTGTGCCAACCTCAGCTCTTTTACCAGCAAGCATATCCGTTAGAACTGTAGGTCTATGACCAAATACACCAATTTCACCAGCAATAGTGGGGCCCATCGAACACGAGAAATAATCGCTATCTTGGAGTTCGGATAAACCCCCATAAGAAAAACCTGTGAATAAGACCTATTTAAACAAAGTGTTAATATTAAGCTAGTATTGCATAAAGTAATATTGAAAATAGAAGAAATCATTTTGCATTTTAGCACTAAACTCAAGATTAAATCGACCTGAAATCATTTTAGGATTAAACTCATTTGTCCACATAGAAGAAAAGTGTAGGGACCGGAAAATATAAGAGGGAACACATTTTGCTTCGGTGACACGCTTTCCGTTGATACTTATAGATAGATGAAAATAATTAAAGAACATTTAAGTATTTTTGAATAGCAATAAACAGCTAAAGCTAGAATTCTTTTATTCGCAAGTATGAGAAATCTAGTGAGGTAGTGCCTTTTTACGAAATAGTCCCTAATAACACCACAAAGTGTTATTTAAGATCCATAATTCGTTAAAGTAATAGGAAAAAACAAGTGATCATAAGAGAAACTTGTTTGACCTGACTGCTCAAACTTCATTTTGTTCTGCTATTCAGAAAAGAAAGAAATCCCAATTATTTTTTCTTTGGTGTGTCCTGTCATTAGAGTGAACCCAGGAACAAGGTTCGGAAGATTACCCATTGGACAACATAAAACATCCTTAGGCCATCATCGATGTACTCGAAGTTCAACATTAAATTCTATACCCATTTTATCAGTTAATAAATATATAAGTGTCTAAACGACACCTTTAGCTCATAATATTGTTTTAATTATATTACTATTACCTGGTCATCAAAGAAGTCTGTGCATTTATAGCAAACTCGCATGCCATTTGACAGAATCAGCTCAGTTGCACCAATGCTGGAATACTCAACCTGCTGCACCACATGACTGAAACATAACAAAAGATAGCAAATCATGTATCGCTGTTGTAAATACGACAACCTCTTGTATTCAGGGAACAAAAAAAAAAAAATTGCGGACTTTTGAACTTAGTGCTATGCCAAAAATCAATTTCTTCGGGATGAAAAATCAATTATGCTCGCAATATAAGGGATAAATTATGATTTTCCTGTGGGGTTATAAGAGATATAAGCTCACCCTGGATTTGGCTCTATACTAACAATTTCTTCAGGGATGCTTTCCTCATCCCAAGGGGAAATGCCTCCGTCTTCTTCCAAAGTATTGACTCTTAAAACAACCGTTTTTAAATCGTCTACCGTTACAGTCGCTCGAGGCTCAATTGTTTTTATTACGCAGCTGCATGTTGTCCGGAAATTTTCTGAATATTGGGATACCTCAGAAACTGATATATCTACAATTGACAAGAACAGAACATTAAAATGACAGACTACTCTAGTATAAAGAAGCCACTCGGAAGAAGTACAAAAATACTCACGAGGTAGAATAGTTTTATGAAGTTGTGCTTCATATTCAATCCCAACAACAGGTTCATTTCGGAGAAAATGCTGTGTAATGAGAAGGAAATTCAAAAATGGAGCAAGATTTTGTTTAAACCACTTAAAGTTCAGAAGTGAAGAGGGAGAGGGAGAGGGAGAGGGAGAGAGAATGTTACCTGTATATATTCGTCTCTTAAGTTGCTCGATTGCATCTGATCTCGCTCTAGATAGGCAGATTCAATCTCTGACATTAAAAGGGCACGGGCAACAGATATTTCACGTTCAGAGAATCCATGTACACGAACCCTAGCAACCTGAAAAGTCATGCATAAGTAAAGTGCAGACGTGGAAGTTAGTTCATAAGGAATAAAGACATACCTCAGTCAGCATTGATTCCAGTGCCACAGTCGTCCCATTTTGTTTACAAGATGAGGTCATTATATATGCCTTGGTTGCACGGACGAGAACATCAGCAGCAGTTGAGCATGAAAAGTAGGGTGGATCATTCTTACGAGACAATTTAAAGAACCTTTGGTTCAAAGCATGGAAAAACATGGATTCGGCGAGTAAATTCCTATAATCCTTCACGGTTTTCAGCTCACCCACTGGAACCTTGCAACTGATCATCACTGCTGACTGTGAAAAGAATCCCGGATTAAAATAAAGTTGAATTTGTATAATTGCATGGTAAAATTGAAATTTATTGTACTAACCCCAGCTGCTTCTGATTCCACAAAGCTTGAAAAACGTGGCTCCTCGTGTGATGGGACAGTGAACTGCGGTATCGGAGGAGGATCAAGTTCTGGTTTTTTATCTTCAAAATGAGTCTTTATCATCTCGACAACACTCTGCCATGAAAGAAGAATAAAGGGATGATAAAGAACAACCAATTAAATCTTGATGTTAGGTGGATCAATGTTAAAAAGGAAAACAAATAACAAAAAAATAACCTGCGTATCAGGAAAATCCCCAACAATAATCAAAGCCATATTCTGCATATGGTACCACTTATTATAGAACCGTTTCACAATCTCGGGGCTAACTGCACGGATCACCTTTTCGAGTCCAATAGGTAATCGCTCTGCATACTATAACCAGAGATAGAAATTTTCAAATGCTTTTGTCATTTACCATCTTTATAAATTTCCAGCAAAATCAAAAGGGCAAAAACAAGGCCTTACTTTTGAGCCCTCCATCATGAGAACCCAGTGAGCGTCCTGCATTCTTCCATTAGCATTTCTACTTCCTCTATACTCTTCGAGTACAGCTCCCCTTTCTTTTTCCAAGTCATCCACTGATACGCGGACCTGTACTACACGAGATACGACATTTTTAGAGTAAAATAATATACTTCAACTACATAAATATAAAAAACCCTTTACCTCAGAACTGAACTCCGCCAAGACTGAAATGGACTGAGATAATATGTCAGGCTTGTCGATAGGAACAAATAACTCATAAACAGTTTCATCTGCTGATGTCATAGCATTTTGACAGGCACCGAATTCAGCCCCGATACTTTCTAGAAATTTGACAATATCATGGTTTGAGTATTTCTTGGTGGCGCTGAAAGCTAGATGCTCAACTATATGAGCGACTCCACGCTCTTCCTCTTCTTCCAGAACTGAACTGCCTTAATCAAAGGGTAAGCTCAGTAAATGTATCGACTATTTAAGAGACTGAACTGTCAATAGCTTAACTTCATTTTATCTTTTAAGAATTTTTCTGTAGGCCTGCTAGAAAGTTTAATTAACAAAAAAGAACATGCATTCGCAAGTTGTATTAATCCCCGGGATAAAACTATCCATGTATCAGGTTCAAATTTTCTGTTGTGCAGCAGCCTCAAAACAAGTATTGTATTCAGTATAAATTGAGGTTAATTGTTCATCCATCCAAGCATTAAAGTGTCAGTCTATATGAAAATACAAAAATATGAACCAAAAACACTTATAATTCACTGTTCTAAGAATTTTCATATAGACGATTGGCTACACTATTTGAGGATGAACCTTCGAAATTTCAGTTTTCTGAAAGTTCAAACTGACTCATCTAGGAAATCTGATATCATAGTTTATAAAATAATGGGTGCAACAACATAATGAAGTTGGGAGAAACACCCAATCAAGTTTGAAAGGGTAATAGCCAAATAACAACTAAAAGATTTCAGCCAAAATTACTAAATCCATAGATGTTCATTGAAATTTAATGGCTGTAATAGAACATATATACCAACCAAAGTAGGGGAGGCAAGTTCTGCTACAGAATACAACAGGTGATGATGATTGTGATATTTACTTAGTATTAAAAGTGAGGTGCTTTTTGCTGACTTATTTTGGTTGCTACTTGATGCTTATCTTGGACACATTTGCATTCAATTTAATGCCTCAATTAGTATCATATAAACTCAATTTTGATGGATGCAAAACAAAACTGAGCGCAGTTCTGGAGGTTGGTCTTTAGGGAACCACAATTGCAATGTAATTAAATTTTCTGATTATTTTGGCTTTTGTTGTACTATCTCTACAGAGTTGCAACAATAGTAAGAATTTGACATGACTATGGACTGAACTATGAAGCGAATGTAACAGGGCTATTTATCATCTACATGATAATGTGCTATCTATTGCATGGAAAACTTTCCATCTCGTCAAAATAATCTGTGAACTTAAATACTAGATAAACCCGTATGTTTTTTTTTTTTTTGAATTGTTTGTCTGGCACATTAACAAAATTCATTGTAACATCCTATACTGAATGTGCCACAAACACAATTTTCTGACCATCTAGAAGAAATTACCCTCGAACGCATTAATCATTTAACCCTACTCCGTCACTCATTCCGCACAAACCCTGTCTAAAAAAATCTCATATCGTTTTTAAACCAAAATGTTTTATTTAGGAAGTGCATTAATTTGGTTGTTTAAACCGAAACCGAAAGTCGAATAGTCCACATCAACAGCATTCTACCAGAATTAGTATGAACTCAGTACCAACCAACTCCAGTAACTATCTCCTCCATTTTTTTATCTGAATTTTGTCCGTATAAAGTCCAGAATTAGATCTGTTCCGTAACTATTCGACCTATTAGAAATCATATCGTAGAGCCAGAACTACTCTGAATTCAAAATTACCAACAAACTACTCGGAATTCAAAATTCAGTAATACCGTAGTCTGAAATCCCCGAAAAATAAAGAGGTCGGATAAAAAATACACGTACCCAACCTTAACGGCGAGAGCGAGAGCAGCTCTCATTTTAGGCTTGGAATTGGCGCGCACATAGTAAGTGAGGCCATTGCTAAGGCGGCCGTAGTCGACGGCGTACGGCGTCGCCGCCAAGATGTCGTCTTCATTGTAATTAACGAGCTTGAGCGAGCGGAAGCGTAGTTTGGTCTTGCTCAAGATCTGCGACGACTCTCCCGGCAACAAATCCATGCCTAGAATTTTCAAATCTCTTCTGTTTTCGCTTTTCTCTGCGACTGTGATTTTTTGTATTGAAGTATTCTTATATTTATAGTCTGGATAAATTAATCAGAAATGAATGAAATTGATGCTTATTTGGGGTAATTTTAGGAGGTTTGGAATCTACCGTAATACTAATATATATTGGGTACCCACCTAAGTATGTGACACGTTCGTTTTTGGCAGAAGTAAGTGACCATTATTTATAATGGTTGTTCTATGCAATGTTACTATTTCATTAAGGGGTTCTTAGATAAAAGAACTTCAAACATTTCGTTAATAGGGAAATACCCAAATTATAATACACTCTTTGAGATAAATTCATACTCATTTTAAGGATATAGGAGTGAGAGGTCGAAATAGGAGACATATTGGAAACATGTAGGGATCATGAAGAGGTCACGGATTTTCTCGTGGAGGGTGATGGCGAAGCGGGTGGCGCGCGCCAGGGCGTACCATTTGCGGTAGACGGGGGCGGCGGAGTTGCGGCCGCAGACGTCGAGCACGACGGTGATTCCGTTTTTTCGTGAAAATGGATGCTAATCAACTATGTTGTTTGCATAGTCGATTAATAAATTTGCTATATTTTTTTATATTCGATTTGTTATTTTTAGGTCTAATATACGCTTTAATATTTCAATCAACTAAATCTGAACTAGTGAAATTGTGTTTGCAGGTCCTTGTGAATGTAGGCACATTTGTGTCTGAACCATATTAAATTCATGTTTTTTTATCTGTTATTTAGTAGTTAATTACTATGACGACACAAGAATGATAGTTGCAACATAATATTGTGCTAACAAGTAAAATTGTTACAACTTAGAATAACTGATTTCTATATGCATATAAATCAACACGCTTAAAAAATAATTTGAGAAAACCTCCTTATGTTTTTCGCGATTTTCTAATTTACTTTATGTTTTTTCTCGAAATTTGGATTAAGTTGGACGCTAATTGACCATGTTGTTTGCATGGTCCATTTATTAATCAACAGTGTACATTAATAGGACTTAATAAAAGATATTAAAGACTCCCTCTTTAAACCTTGACCGTTCTTGTACACAACTAGAACTTTCGTGTTTCTTTATCGAGCTCCTCACTGCGTACCTTGAACTCCCTTCAAGCCTATCCTTAGAGATCTATACAACAACTGTATATGTTGGCACACAACAATGAGGGCTGCTCCGCAGACCACTGCCTCGGTAATTTTTTAATGCTTTGAAGTATGTTTCTTCTAATAAACGGCACAGAGTTCTTCAAAGTTTTGTGAGGCTTATATAGGAACGAAATCAACCTTCAAACCCTAACTTGAACCTAAAGAAATCTTCTAACTAAGTAATAGTATCCTAGACGATTTCTACTTCTATTCTAGATAAGCTTATAAAGAAAATGCGAAAATTGGGATGCGAAAATTGGGAAAACGAGCATGCCATAAGAGGGCGGATGCACACTTGGGAAAGACATTGGAAGCAAAAGCACAATAATATTGACAAAGCACATACAAACCATCATCACATTTGCCGAACCCCAACACTGCTCTTGTGGCGCGATCATGTATGAAAAAACGAGAAAATGAAAAGGTTACTTAACAGTAAACATCTTTTGTAAGCTGACTGATTGAAATTATGTTTTTTCTTGAGACCGGGAAGAACTAAAACATTTGATAAAACAAGAGATTTTTTGGGGGAAATAAGAGAGATTGTACCAACATGGGAAATAGGTAGCGACTGAAGATTACCAAACATCACCCTTTCACTACCATACTATTCAGCAGGAAAATCCAGACCCTCGGGATCATTTGTCATGTGAGATACTGCACCAGAATTTGAATACGGCTGAGTCATGAACATCTGAAATTTTAACATGCAGCGAAGGCCCCAAGTAGGTTTGCATATTGTTTTTTTCTTGAGATTGAGAAAATTCCAACATCATTTATCTAAGTGACGCTCCATATCACAAACTTGACGGTAAATCGAAGAAAGGGTTGGACATTTTTTAAACGTAAGTGTTGAAAGGTTTAAGTTTTCCATCTTTCTTGGAATGCTTCGGTCGAGAGTAGGAAGTCGAATGAGCGTACAATGCCAAGATTGGGGATGTTGAGAGATCGACCGTTCAAAAATCTCATGAATCATGGCTTTCGAAACAATATCTACTCAAAAAAGTAACGGGATTCGAGAAAGCATGGTTGTATAAAATCTTGTAGTCTGGTCCTAAAGCTCTCAAGAACAAATGTTGTAAATAATATATGTGTGGGGTTTCCTTACATACCACCCAATCCCCTCTAGATCATTAACATACCCCATATCTTCTCATTATGTTAGTGGTAGAGAAATTATTTTTGTAGATTCTCTTTTAATTTCTCGTAGTTTTTACACCTATATAATGGAACTCTCCCTCCCCCACTAATACACCCCTGATAATCTCTGCGGATTTTAGTCTTTGGATTATCTCTCAATCTCTATATTATTCTAGTCATATTTTATGTCCACAATCGTCAAACCGAAAAGCAATACTATCAGGGCGAGTTACAACAATTTAATTTATATTATAATTTTTATATTAAAGGACACTCGGTACCTCTTCACCTTTCACGAAAAGTATTTAATGTAATATTACAATTTAAATCTTCACAATTTTGAATCAAATTAATCCAATCCACATGTACGAATATCACCATTGACTAGAAGTTGTCTCTCCTAAAGTACCTCCCTAAAGAGAGAGAACCACAATTGTTGAGCCAACAATACCTACCAAAATTTACAACAAGAAAAATAAATGAAAATTGGGGATGTCAAAAACAACCAAACATTTGAATTTTTCATGTTGTTTATAAGAAAGTTATGAAATATATAATGTTATTATAATATTTTCAAAAAATATAATAAGAACGAACCTTAGCATCTCTCAAGGTGATGTCACTGAGGCATTAGAATTACTACAGTGTATTGCTCTTTGCAGGGAAAAGGTAGCATTCTTTGCAATGTTGCTTGAGCTGTTGATGGTGTCAACGTATTTCTTACATTGTTACGTGCTTCGTCTAGAATCTGCATAATATTACCCCCCACAAACGACCTTTAGAACAATGTTTTCCGTATGTCAACATAAATGAAATCTTCTTTTTTTTTAAGGAATTTCAACATAATTTGTAACAAGAAGAATAAATTGGCTTGAAAAGCGGTTATATTTAATTAGTTATGATCGTGGAAAAAACATATGGAAACCTTGAAAGAAGCATCGATATCACCGGAATAATTCCTCGACTGATAGCTTGACATAATCATCTCCAACCAATAATAGTTATCCTGAAACCACATTAGTGAACCATCAAGTATTCATATAAGTTATTTCATTGTGTGCGCGCGCACGCACGTAATATTTTCACCAGAGTGCACCTGCAATTCTATTTCGTAGGTCCTCTGTTCAATTTCAAGGATGGCAGAGACATCATCATCTGAAGGTCCTTCCACTTGAAGACGCAAGATTTCATCCAAGACGAGATCAACCTTTGCGTTGATTATATATATCATCCAATGCGAATTAGCGAGCTACCAAATTTAATTTGATTAAAAACAATTAGTTAAAAAAAAAGTAATCTTTCTTCTTACCAGTGTTGATGAGATTACTGGATCGCAAGAAAAGTAAACGTTTAAATCTCCACGGACGTCGCCAACTCTTGAAGGTTTGTTACCTCCAAAGAACATGGAAACTCCAGTTGAGTATATCTAAAAAATATATTATTCTCAATGAACTAGCTATAATTTTAAACATCAATGATTTAATAAAACATAAGAATTCATTTTCATACTTGTCCATGCTTAAATCGAAGAACTTGCAGTATCTTTGTTTCTAGAAGCTTGCTCATGAATTGGATCAAGTGTTTATCTTCCATCTATAATTAAAAAAAGAAAAAATTAGAAGATTGTGATCGGTGCACTAGTAGAAAAATAGCTTCTTACTATGCAATTTTTTTGTTACGGTAAAAAGTCATAGCAAAAGGTACATTTTACTACAGGACAATTTTGGAGTCGTAGCAAATGCTAGGATTTACTGTAGCAAAACGTATTTGCTACGGCTATTTACTGTAGCATAGTTTGTCACGTCCGTATTTGCTACGGGACAAATTCGTAGCAAATGCGTAACAAAAATCTTTTTACTACGAATTTGATACATTTTAGTTGGTTGTAGTAAAAAGTCATTTTTGTACTAATGGTTAAAGTATAATAAGTTTTTAGTTTCCTACTGTGTTCAAATACCATAGTTTCTTCCTTGAGCTCAACTAGAAAACACAAATGGACCGAAGATTGCGCTTCCACCATGGGGCTCCGAACAACTTCTCTGTAACCACATTTATCGCGTTTATAAATACTTAAATAAACCGAAAAAAAAAATATACATGCCATCAATGTAAAGGAAATATAAACTAGGGTAAATTACACCCACACCACTGAGGTATGCTTAAATAATTTTAAGGTTCCTGTGTTATCGATAATTACACTCATCCCCTGAAACGTAGTTAGAAATTCTAATGGGATAAGCATTGGATACGTTATTCTGATAGAGTTGTAAGGGATTATTACTTTTAACTAGTGGTGGAGACAACATAGAGTTAGGGGGTGACATGGCTCCCCCAACATTTCTTAGATCACACATAGCTCTATGTTGTCTCCACCACTTCCTGAAACTAATAGTCCGTTAGAACGCTATCGGAATAACGTATCCAATGCATTACACATTAGAGTTTCTCACTATGTTTCAGGGAGTGTGTATAATTATCGATACCACATGGATCTTAAAGTTATTTAAGCATACATCGGGGATGTGGGTGTAATTACCCTATAAACTAAGGGTCCATTTGGATGGAGGGATATGGGGAGGGATTTGATTTGGGGAATGGATTTGAAATGACTCCAATTTTGGAGTCATTTGAAATCCACCACTATTGCTCCAAAAACAACTAAAATGAGGGGTGGGGATTTGAAATTCATCTCCAAATACCTCAATCCAAACAAGTCAAAGGGATTTGTTATCATGGATTTGAAATCCCTCCCCCAAATCCCTCCATCCAAATGCACCTTATTGCCGAAGTGAATTTAAAAGTTGAGTAACGTACCTAATTACAGTGGATGGATAAGTACATGGTAAAGATGTGAGATCAAAATGTTCGAAATTGAAAATTGGTGTTGTAGGTCTGGGGATCCCTCCCTACGTAAAATATTCCAAATTTGTTAAATAATCAACAAGAAAAATTCATCAATGTAGAGTTTTTTTTTCTTTTTTTTTTTTTTTTTTTTTTTTTTGACAAATTCACACCACTTACAAGATACTGCAATATCAATGGAGAAGCAATGGTAGGTTCAATTTTTCCAATAATTACAACAGTAAAAGTTGAGGGGTCCTTAAAGGAATTATTGAAATATTCACAACCCTTGACCGGATCAACTTCTTTTAGATCATCCATTTTCATTGTCTGCAAGAGAAAAAAAAAAAATCACATCATATTTTCAAAGTAGTCATACAATAAATAAAAGGGTAACTAACATTTGACCCCGTGTGGTTAAAAGTTTTTGCAGATGACTCCCTTGTTCTTGTAATATCAGCACATTATCAATACCCTTGTGGTTGATAGAGGTAACTTCTGTTAATTTTTGCGTCATAATTAACTACGTGTGTCGAACGTCAAAATATTATATTTTGCAGATGACTAGCTCCCTTATGCTTAAGTTTGACAAAAAAACTAACGAACACTACTTTTGTCAACCACAAAGGGTTATGTATGTTGATGTTACGAGTACAGAGGGATCATATGCAAAAACTTGTAACCATACGGGGGTTAAATGTTATTTACCCTAAGTAAAAGAACATAATAATGGTATATAGATAGATAGTTCAATTTTCACCCTAAAAAAGATGGAGTTCCCATAATTGATCTCCAACACACGATTGGTAAATACAGTGTGAGGATCTCGCTCTTCAGCATGAATAGATTCTTCATCCTTTTGCATCACTATTTTCACGTCATCTTCCTCTGGTTGCATGTTTGTTATAAAGAGTTGATACACCAACTAGGAGAGAGAGAGAGAGAGAGAGAGAGAGAGAGAGAGAGAGAGAGAGAGAGAGAGAACTATTAGTTGGATTTTAACATGCAATTAATACTTAATATAATGATGGAACTTTCATTGGGTTTTATAGTACTGGTGCATTGCTTTCGAATTCGACACTACTTATTTAAAACATCTTATAAGCTCCTATATCTTAGTTGGATTTTAACATGCAATTAATACTTAATATAATGATGGAACTTCCATTGGGTTTTATAGTGGTGCATTGCTTTCGCATTCGACACAACTTATTTAAAACATCTTATAAGCTCCTATATCTGATGAGATATTTTAGGAGTTGATAAGCTCTTTGATCTTATTTTAAAGATAAAGTTTTAAAGTGTTTGGATATAGAGCTTATAAGTTACTAGAATGTAATTTTGTAGTTTTAATATTTTTGTAATTTTATATTTTTAATGAACAAATAAGATGTTAGAGGTTGTTTAATTTGGCTAAGCTTATAAGATGTTAAAAATAGTTCATAAGATGTTAAGGAGCTTATAAGTTCTTCCAAAGTGTTTGGTATTTCATTTAAAAAAATCTTATTTTTTTTTAAATAAATTGTTAGAGAGCCAATAAGATATTTTTTTAATAAGTACATTCACCCTATCTTTTTATTTAAGATCTTATAATCAATCAAAATAGCAAATAAACTCATTATTCGAACACTTGAAAAATTAATTCTACAAATAAGATGTAACAGATTATCATCTCTTAAAATATATATCATATCAAACGTAAAAGCTTATCATCTGTTTAAAATAAGCAAAGCCAAACGAGCCCTTAACTAAAAAAGGTGAGGTCATATATATATATAAAATTAGATCTTTCTTAGAAAAAATTACCAAATCCATTTTAATAGATTATAAGCTCTTATAAATCTTATAAGATGTTTTTAAGAACTTATATATAACCTCTTAGACAAAGAGGCTCTTAGTATGTATTGAAGAAAACAAACCTGGAGTGCAATTTCCAAATCTGAAGGAGAGCAGTAGCCAGAAAAACTTCGCTTATATATACCCAAACTTGTACCTGCATTAACTCTTTTACCAGCAAGCATATCTGTTAGCACTTCAGCTCTATGACCAAATAAACCAGTTTGTTCAGCTATATCGGAACCCATCAAACACGAGAAATAATCGCTTTCTTTGAGTTCCGATAGACCCCCGTAGGAAAAACCTGTGAATAAAACCTATTTTATAAAAAAAATGTTAATATCAAGTTAGAATTATATCAACTTGTGGTAGTATAGAATACAATCTTTCATTCTCAAAGCATCACTTTTAAATACTAATGGGGAGAAAATCTTAATGAACTTAGGCCACGTTTGGTTGACAAGATAAGATTAGCCAAGATAAGATTAAATAATTTAATAAGACCCAATTATTTTATTGGAGCTTGAAACGTCCAACAAAAAAAACTCATTAGAAGTCAAGATAAATCAAGATAAGTCAAGATAAGCCATGATTATATAATTTTGGCGGGTCAACCTGGCAATTTATTGAGAATACCAAACATCGAATTAAGTCCAACTGTTTAGTTAATCATGACTTATCTTGGCAACCAAACGGGTCCTTAAAGTATGATTTCTTTTGTGGGTTTTTTGCAAAAACCACCCCTGTATAATCTCGAATTGTCGAAAAAGCACCTGTGTTAAAAACATTAGCACATAACCCCCTGTGAAAATTAGTTAAAGCCAAAAAGGACCCTGCGTGCTCAATGTGAGATGCACTCGCGGCTTGTGCGACTGGGAGTCTGTTTTTTGACCTAAAAAGACCCAAATACCCTAACTCAATATTTTCGAAAATTACAAATTTATCCAGGATTTTTCACATGCCTAAAATGAAGTTTTTAGAATTTTCGATTCAGTCCCTAACAATTTCAGAAAAGCCCTCTATCCAAATTGCATAGGACCAAATTGCAATTTTCATAATTTCTTAAACCTAATCATCTCCCTCCTCCCTCTCCTTCTTCAGATCCACTCATTTGATAAAAAATTAAGGGGACAAAAATTCCAGCCCCCCCTCTCTCTCTCCAGAATTCCAGCCCATTTGCAAAAGAAGGAAAAACAAAAAAAAATGCTTTCTCCCTGAAACCCGGCGGAAGATGAAGGCACTTCACATTGAAGATTTGGCATATGAGAATTGGAAGAATTGCCCGTCCCTTCTTCGTTTCTCTAATGGTGGATCTAAATTAAAAATATTTTGAAGTAATTGTTTGAGGTGGGGCGGCGGGTGTGTTGGCAGTGGTGGTGCGACGGTGGAGGGCTGGATGGAAGAAAATGAAGATGATGCCATGAATTGAGCCCCTGTGCGTGATAATTTTTTTGTTCTTTTTTCATTTTTTTTTATTATTTTATTTTATGCATTTTATTTATTTAAAATTAAAATATTATTAAAAATTATCAGGGTTAGTTTAGTAATTTTACCTAACTTAGCAGCCAATTTCAGAAAAAAGGGGCGATGTTCTCTATCAAACAAAACATAGGGGGGTATTTGCTAATTTTTATAACATGAGGACTTTTTTGGCTATTCAAGATTACACAGGGGGTTATGTGCAATTAGCTCTTTCTTTTGTATAATTTCTAGTGCATAGCCAAAGTATTGAATTTGGGGTACAATTTTTTCTACCATCCCGCCTAACTTACTAGTATTTGAATTTGGCGTATATATTTTTTACCTCATAATTAATATCGTGACAGTTTCATAATTAATATTACCTGGTCGTCAAAGAAATCTGTGCTTTTACAGCAAACTCGCATTCCGTTCGACAGAATCAACTCAGTAGCATCAATGATGGGATACTCGAGCTGCTGCACCACATGACTAATTTACATAACAAAAACATGTGAGTTGTGAAAAGAAAAAAAAAATCCTCACTATATAATCAATTTTGCTCGTCGTAATGTAAGTACCACTTGTATATCGAAAATGTGGAATTAGATGAAATTTAATTTACCCTGGAGTTGGCTCGACGCGAACAATTTCTTCGACGGTGCTTTCGTCTTCCCACGGGAAAATGCTTCCTTCTTCTTCCAAAGCATTGACCCTTAAAACAACGCTTCTTAAATCGTCCAATGTTGCGGTCGCTTGAGGCTCAATTGTTTTTATGACGCAGTTAAATGATGTCCGGAAATATTCCGAGAATTGGGATACCTCGGAAGCTGATACATCTACCATTTACAAGAACATAACAAAAATAATCACAAACTACTCGAGTATAAAGACGCCACTCGTAAAAGAATTACAAAATACTCACAAGGTAGAATAGTTTTAAATAATTTCGCCTCGTATTCAGGGTCAACAACAGGTAGCTTTCCGAAAAAATGCTGTGAAATAAAAATAAAACCAGATCCATCAAATTATATATGTATATATAGTTTTAAAGGGTAAATAGTATTTGAGCCCTCTGTTGTTACAAGTTTTTGCATATGATCCCTTTGTACTCGTAATATGAATATGTAACCCCCCTTATGGTTGATAGGGTAGTTTCCGTTAGTTTTTCTGTCAAAATTAACTGCGCGAGTCAAACGTCAAAAGTACTATATTTTGCAGATGATCCCCATACGGTTACATTTTTCCTTTAATTTTTGCAGATGACTCCCTTGAAGTTTGACACACACGGTTAAATTTGACGGAAAAATTAACGGACGCTACCTCTATCAATTATCACAAGGGGGTTATATGCTGATATTACGAGCACAAGGTAGTTATCTGCAAAAGGTGGTAACCACAGGGGTTTAAGTGTTATTTACCCTTTTTTTTTTAAAACCACTTAATTTCAAAAGAGATATGAGAATGAGAGAAAGTGCTACTAGTGTATAATAGGTTCGTATGAGGCTGGATTGAATTTGATCTCGCTCTAGATACTCAGATTCCATTTCCGACATTGAAACGGCTCGTGCAATAGATATTTCACGTTCGGAAAATCCGTATTTACGAACTCTAGCCAGCTGAAAAATTCATGCACAAGTGAAGTGAATAAATGAACAAGTGAAGTATTGGGTTCATGATCATGTCGTAAATAAAAGACACACCTCAATCAGCATTGATTCCAGTGACTCGATAATCCCATTATGCTTACATGATGATGTCATCGTATAGGCCTTTGTTGCGCGGACGAGACCGTTGGAAGCCGCCGAGCATGAAAAATAGGGTGGATCTTTCTTATGAGACAATTTGAATAATCTTTGGTTCATCGCATTGAAAAACATGTCTTCGGCCATAAAATTCCTATAATCCTTCACGGTTTTCATCCAATTCGTTGGAATCTTGAAAGTAATCCCCACTACGGACTGCGAAAAATACGCGTTGGATTATAGTGATGGTAAAAAAATTGAAAATTTATTTAAGGCAATTAATAATTAATAAATAATATATATTCAGAATTCAGTAGTACTAACCCCAGCTGCTTCTGATTCCACGAACACCGAAAAACGTGGCTCCTCGTGTGATGGTACCGTGAATCGCGGTATCGGAGTAGGATCGAGTTTTGGAGTTTTATCTTCAAAGTGGGTTTTTATCAACTCGACAACACTCTACCATAAAACAAGAAATAAGTGATAGTGATGAGAAAGAACAAGTATAAAAGAATATCGAATAAATAAAAATTAATTAACCTGTGTATCAGGAAAATCACCAACAATAATCAAAGCCATATTCTGCATTTGGTACCACTTGTTGTAGAATCGCTTCACAATCTCGGGACTCACCGTACGAATTACATTTTCGAGTCCAATCGGTAATCGCTCTGCATACTGATTATGCAATCAAGGATATACATTATATTACATCATTGTTGATTACAAAATATAATTTTATTTTATTTTTCATTCTTTTTGCAAAATCATGAAAAGAAAAAGGATAAACATCGTAAAACCCCATGTGTTAAGGAAAATAAGCGTTAAATCCCCATGTGTGCTTTTTAGTGCGTAAAATCCCCTATGTTTCGTTTTGCTTTGCATAAAATCCTCATTTATGTTCATAGTTAACACCATTAACTATAGAGATTATTTTATGGAAGCTTTTCACAATAAAGGGGGATTATGTGCATATTTTGTACAATACAATTGGATTTTATGCCAAATTAATTTATTCGTTTAAAACTCATATTATTTTCTTAAATTAAGTTGAACACATTTATTCAGTTACAACATAACAAATAGAAAATTTAATAGTTGTGGTGATTTTTTTTTTTTTTTGTGTTGAAGATTTTCAATTTTTATATAATTTAATTTGTTAGTTTTATTTAAAAAAAATGATTTTTTTTAAATATATATTTATATTATTAGAATTATTATATATTTATATAATTTATTATGGGTTAATTATATGTAAAAACAAAATAAATAATTTTAAAATTGGTTTCAACTTCCATCTCGGCTATTATTTTTTTATTTTTCGTATCGTAAACTAATTGATGTATCCGACTTAATTTAAGAAAAATAAATAAATTTTAAATGAATAAATTAATTTTGCCTAAACCGCCCTTATGTTACAAATTAAAACCAGGTACCAAAACCCCTTATATTATTAAAAAAAAAAAAAAAAACCTTGAAAAACCTTGAATAAAATTCTCTCTATAATTAACGGTGTTAACTATTAACCGAAATGAGAATTTTATGCAGCGGAAAATGAAACAATGAGAAGTTTTACGCAATAAAAAGAACACATAGAAATTTGGCGCAAATTTTCCTTAACAAAGGGGGTTTTATGCAGTTTAACCCCCCCCCCAAAAAAGGACTTACTTTTGAGCCCTCCAACATGACAGCCCAGTGAGCATCATTCATCCTTCCATCAGCATCTCTTCTCCCTCTATACTCTTCAAGTACAGCTCCCCTTTCTGTTTCTAAGTCATCCACCGATACACGAATCTGTAATACGTACACGACGAGATATATATAATGTTTTTTAGTTAAAAAAAAAAAAAAAGTACTCCATATAATATAAATGTAAAAAAAGAAAAATACTTGCCTCAGAACTAAACTCTGCCAAGACTGAAATGGACTGAGATATTAGTTCAGGCTTGTCAATAGGAACAAATAACTCATAAATAGTTTCATCTTCGGTTGTCGAAGCATTTTGGCAGGGACCGAACTCGGCCCCGATACTTTCGACAAATTTTACGATATCATGGTTTGTATAATTCTTGGTGGCACTGAATGCTAGATGCTCAACTATATGAGCGACTCCACGCTCTTCCTCTTCTTCCAATACAGAGCTATCTTGAATCAAGGGATAAGTTCAGTAAGAAACTTTTAAATCAATTTATATTTTATATTAGATGTCGAATACTTTTTATTCAAATATTTATGTTATTTTGAACCACTGATATGAATAGCTTCGATGAGTAACACATTTCGGTCTACATGAAATGCATGTAAATGTTTTTTTTTTTTTTGTTTTTTTTGTTTTTGTGGATGTTTAATCATTGATCTGCACATAATCTCACACATACATGTGTATGTGTGCTTAATGGAAAGTTATTTCACCACATCAATCGTTACAAAATCACCAGGTGCATTTTGCATCTTAATGACCTCACAAATCACAATAGCTAGTTTTTGTAGAAGCGAATTTCGATTCCTATTTCCTAGTTTATTCGGATGCGCTTTCCAGTATAATTTTGAAAAGGGCAAATGGTAAAGAAGCCAATGATAAACAACTTAATTATATAAAATAAAAATAAAAAAAATAAAAAAAAATAAAAAAAGGAATCTTCAACTTGTTTTGTTTTGCAAATTAGTCTACCCCTTCAACACTTGTTGCTAAGGAAAAAAGTCAATCATATATATCAAAATTACACAAAACCCTTTGAAACACCCCTAATTTATTATTTAAACCCTTTAAGACCCTCGTATTCATAATTTAAATCCTAATTTAACACAATTTTCACCAATTAAACCCTAAAAAATAATTAATATTACTGTGTTAGACTTGAATATTACACAGACCGGTCAACGCATCAAAAAGGAATAAAAATAAAATTTAATCTTAATATCTAACACATCAATAATATTGTGTTAGACATTAAATTTTTTTTTACACAGTAACATTGTTATGCTAGACAGTAGTTTTTTTTTAAATAGTAATATCATTGTGCTAGACACGGATATTATTTTGTTAAACAGTCAAATCATTGTGTTAGAAAGTATTATTAAAATGATGATCGTTCAAAAATATAATTTTTTTTAACATTACTATGTAATATTAGTTCTTAAAAAAATATCAGCGTCGTTGACCATCGATCAACGGTGGGAAAACAATTTTAGGAAAAAACATCCAAAAAAAACAAAGTAAACGCTAGTCAACGGTGGGAGAAAAAATCGTAAAAAAAAAGTCCAAAAATGGTGAAATGAGGGTCAATATACATTATTTTGTTAAACTTCGGGTCAATGTAAAATATTTGTTCAATTAAAATTAGAGGATGAAATTGAAGTAAATTAATTAGATGTTAAAGATGTATTTTAGCATTTGGTATGGTTGATGTCCCTTTTGGTGAAAGAAATTTTGAGGTGAAAGGAGTTACAATTAGATATAGACCCATGGATTATATGCAATTCGTGCTTTTTAAAAGACTCTTAAGTTTTCTTAAAATTATTTTTGTGAATTGTGATGGTTCATGGTTGAACCCTATCTGAGAGACGATTGCCAAATAACCATAAGCAGTGTATGGCGCAATTTCGTCTTAAGGAAAGAGTACTATTCGCCTCAGCTAATCTCTTCACATTTTCACCTATTAATTAGTTCGACTATTTTACTAAATTAACTACCCGTTTTATACACCGGGAACAACAAAAAGTTCGATACATGTAAAACTCATCAAATCTAAGAACAATGATAAACAATAGTTCAACCACAATATAACGTTATTGAACGGTTAAAATAATCAGTTCAAGAGATTCGAATATTAATGCTTGCACGTTAAGTAGATAGGTAAATTACATGGAAATAATCATTCAAATATATTTTAATAGTTGTTAGGTATCTTTGAGTTTTTTTTTTCTTTTTTTTTTTAATTTAGACAAATTTTGGAGAAGAAGTTGTTAAACTTCATAATCTTTTAGAGAATATTTGTATGGACATCGGCAAATAGTCAACGCACGCACTTACGAACATATTGCGACAGACAGACTAGCTATATATGAAGGGCTCAAAACGACATATATAATGATAAGTATAGACATGTTCGTCAAATGAAATGAAAAACATATATAACGGATCCAACATAAAGAAAACACAGTTCACGTGACAATAAAATATAGGTGGGATAAAAAAATGTGCGCGCGTACCCAACATTAACGACGAGGGAGAGAGCGGCTCTCTTTTTAGGCGTCGAATTAGTGGACACATAGTAAGTGAGACCATTGCTTAGGCGGCCGTAATCCGCACCGTACGGTGTCTCCGCCAAATTTTCGTCTTCATTGAAATCAACCAATTTGAGCGAACGGAAGCGCAGTTTTGTCTTGCTTAAAATCTTCGACGACTCTCCTGGCAATAAATTATCCATACCCAATGTTTCGAATTATAATTTTTCTTTCTCTACGAGTGAGATTTTTGAAAGAAGCATTCTTATATTTATGGTTGGATTAATAATTAAAGAATTATATTTTTAGGTTTATTGTACAAGGTCACTATCTACCGTTATAAATCGTGATATGCACCTACTAATGTTGAAGTGGCTTACACCATAATTTTGCGTGTAGCATATGACATAGGAAGGGGGCATATATATATATATATATATATATATATATATATATATATATATATATATATATTCTATTATTAAGTTTTCACAAATTAATCTTTCAAATAGTGTCTGCCATTGCCTCGCCTCGAGCCAGTTTGACAATTTCTTGAAATTAATGTATGCACAAGAAAATAATTAGCTATTAAGTCATTTTAAAATGACAACAAGTCAACAACCATCATATATCCATAAATATGTTCACATATAGAAAAGTAAGACATTGGAGAAAGATTGGGTCAACGACCAATGCTTCTGTTAGAATTCATTTCGTGCCAATATAAACTACTTGTGTCAGATTCTATTTTTGTTACTGTTGCGTAAAGTATTGCAACAGTTCGTAAATCAGTATGTAAAAACAGAAATAAACGAGACACATATTTAATGTGGTTCGAATACAATTGTACTCTACATCAACGAGGATCTGCAAAAAAAACGAATATTCACCATTTTAGTTTTACAAGCACAATATTAGGACTTCAGTTCTTAACACTACAAGAAAATGCAAAATAGGCAATGATTTCTTTATGACAAAATTAATTTCGTTGCCAATATTAGTATTTGTGGCTAAAGAATAATTTTTTTGTAACAAGATATTTTCGTTGCCTTTGAATCTCATAGGCAACGAAAAATATTGTTGTGAATAGTATCATATATTTCGCAGTGAATTTAATGCAAGACAACAACTTCTTTTGTTGCAAAAGATTGTTTCTTTTTTTGCTACGATATAAAATTGTAGTAAATACATATACAACTGCAACAAATTTATTTTGTTGCCAGTAAGTGACGAAAGACAACGAAATCTTTTGTTGTAAATGCTCGAAGTGATTTGGCAACAAAATATAATCGTTGCCAATTTTATTATTATTATTATTATTATTATTATTATTATTATTATTATTATTATTATTATTATTATTATTATTATTATTATATATATATATATATATATATATATATATATATATATATATATATATATAATATTGAATTATTAATGCATTAGTATTCAACAGTTTTTTAGAATTTCATCGATCTCAAATTTATTAGTGTTCATTAACTATATGTATGCATATTATATATAATAAAATATGATAAAAAAAATCTTATTCGTTTATATTAACTAGCATTACCTCATGCAATTTTTTTAAGTCATTTGATTACATGGTTTTAAAATTTTATTATATATATGTTATGTTTATAATTGAATTTTATCGTAAATGTTTTTTTTTTGGACATATTATTTATTTATATAACTATTTTTAATCATTTTACTTTGTACAAATATAGTGTTGCCCCAACGGTTTGAAGGGACTCTAACTTCAAATCAACCTCTCCATATATTTAACATTTATCAAACGGGTAAGCCCGTTGGCCTGGTCGTGAGTTCAACCCAGTGATCGGCGGTCCAAAGGTCGGGTCGGCGGATAGGACCATATTGGTTATATCTTTTGGAATGAAATAAATTCGTTCGGTATACTAAATACAATTGGCGACGAAAATAAATTCGTTGTGTATACCAAATACATTGGCAACGATATATAATTGGCAACGAAATATATTCATTGTGCATTGTAAATGTTTCGGCAACGATATATATTTGCCAACGACATGAATTCGTTGTGCAAACTAAATGAATTGGCAACGACTTTTAAGTCGTTTCCCTGAACTTTCCGTAACAAATAAAAGACAACGAAGCTATCAACGACTTATTTTCGTTGCGAATGGAATTAGCAACGAAATTATAAACTTTCCTGTTGCCAAATGTGAACTTTCTTTTAGTCTAAACAATAAATTAAAGACTTCATCTTTATCTTGACGCCGTTCTTATGCAATACTCAAACCTAGTAACTTCGATTATGCTAGCCTCCTCTCCGCTCGGTTGAACTCCCTTCAACGCTAAATCCTTTCAGTCGGCGGATCGATCTCCTCCCGAGATCTATTTAAGCCCCTCTCCCGAAGAACCGATCTTCTGTTTGTATACAAGAAGAAAAACTTGTGATAATCTTTAAATCTTGGTGTCTTCACCACAAAGCCTTTAAGCTGATATATCTTCACCAAAACTTCTTACCAAGTCCAGCAGTGAACAACATGCACCTTACTCTCTCAAGTAAAGTTCTATTCATCATTTCTGTCAAGCCATTTCGTTATGGAGTCCCTCTCATTTTTTTGTGTCTAGCAATTCCATGATGATCACAGGATGTATTGAACTGATCATTTACAAACTCTTGACAATTGTCAGTTCTTAGTCTCTTCACCTTCTTGCCAGATTGATTTTCCACCATCACTATCCAGTTCTTGATGGTAATGAATGCCTCATCTTTGATTTTTAGCAGCATCACCCAAACTTTCCTTAAGTAGTCGTCTATAATGGACATGAAATATCTTGCTCCTCCGATTTTCTAATTCATGGAAGGTCCCTACAGGTTTAAGTGAACATAATCCAATTAAGGCTCTCTTTGATGTATGGACTCCAGTAGAGAATCTAACTCTATAGCTTGCTCTTCTTTCCAAGTATAAAATTCTCATAGAATTGTAATCTTTCAATCGTGTCTCCACATAGCAAGTCTTGTTTGCTCAGTTCATGTAACCATCTCTCACCAACATGTCCCACTCTTGAGTGCCAAAGAGTGAAGTTGTCTGCATATATATTGTTTGCAGAACCATTCAGAGCATATCCATCAACAACATAGATTCCATTTCTTAGATTAGATTTGACAAGTGTCAAAGCACCCTTGAGTACTCTCATCTTTCCATTTATGGTTCTGAAACCAAACCCTTCTTTATCCAACACTCTATGTGATAAAAGGTTCGTGTGGAGATCTAGAACATACCTCACACGAGTGACAAGTTTTTTTTTTGTCCAGTTGATAGCATCAATCTTACAGTTCTCATGCCCTAGGCTCTACATGGTTCATCATTCCCAAAAATGATTGTTCCTCCCTCAAACTCATTCAGTTCATCAAAGTAATGCTTGTTTGAAGTCAAGTGAAAAGAACAACCTAAGTCAATTACCCATTTTGACTCACCAATTGAGGTAGATGCTAGTAATACATCTGCTGAATCATATATAGCCATTTAAGGCCATAGACACTTGTCAGTTGTCATTGTGTTTATCATTGTCAAATTTATGCCTTTATGGACAATCTCTTCTGATTTGTCCTTCCTTCTTGCACTTCCAGCACTTCTTGGTAGATGCAGATGAGTTCCCCATTGACTTTGACCTTGATTTCCACATATTCTTGTTACCATCTCTTTTATTGTCTCCCTCTCACACTCAAGCCTTCTCCAGAGCTCTCTCCTCTTGAATAGTCATTGTGGGAGTTTGCTTCCCATAGAGCATGGTGTCCACAAAGTGTTCATACGCCTTAGGTAAGGAACTTAACAGAATAATTGTAAGGCGGCCTCCATCGTCAATCTTCACTCCGATCCTACAGCATGTAGATGAAGGACTATTTTGTTATAGTCATCTCAAGTGTATACAGTTGTTTCTTCATGTATAGCCTGTTAGCTAATGATTTCTTCATGTACAAGCTTTCAAGCTTCTCCCATACCTTCAATGTAGTCTCTTCTTCAAAGGATTTCTCTCAAAACTTCATCTCCTAGGCTTAGGATCAAAGCACTGTGTACGTACTTTAGATTGGAACTCACCAGAGATCTTCTTGTCAACTGCAGCTACAAGTTTCTCATCAAGGGTTGTTGCCACTCCTTGTTGAACTAACAGTGCCTTGATCTTTATTCTCCATGGATTAAAGTCATTCGTATTTGCTTTGGAGTTGCTCTTTGGAAGGGCAAAGATGAAAATTCACATTTACATATATCCCATTAAATCCGAAAAGATCACCACAGCCCACAAAGCCTAGACCATTCATACTTAAGTTCATATACTTCCTGATTTGGATGCCTTTTGAAAGTGCTAGTTTCAATTGTAGCCTCTTGAAAGTGTTAAAATGTCGAGTTGCACTTAGCAAATGATTTAAACTCAATTAGGCCACAAAGAACAAAATAATCATATGGTTAAGCTCCACTAATTAACCATAGACAATATCTAAACCTCACAGGTACATAGAAATTCAACTCATCACAGTCTATACATTCTTCTTTGACAACACTAACTCAACCACCATGTTTTTGTCAGTTTAAAAAACAACCAGAATAAAACCCTATTTAGCTTTATTCTTCACCGACAACTTCTTCGCCACTGCTTTGATCTCAGTAATCCTTTCATCCACTAGCTTCCTCAGCTCCTCCTCTATATTGCCCTGATTTTCATCCTTCATTAACATATCAGATTCACCACCATTCGATTTAAACATCGCAAACGACATTCTCTGATCAAACTGAGTCGGGATATCGATTAAACGCTTCCCAGCACCTTCAGATTCTTTCCCAATTACATCAGCCCTCACGCGGTTCGAAATGACCGTCTTCCAATTCTCAATGTGTTTTTTAACGGCCCCCAAACTAACATAGATTAATACCTCCCAGCACTGCAGAAACTGTCTCTTGTTAATTTTCAAATTTTTCCTCACGTCTTCAACAATATTTGCAGGGGGCCCACATCGGTGCGCCTTGCTTTTCTTCGACAGGTCACCGTTTCTTAGTTGTGAAATGATTGGTCCGAGGGCTTCATGGATTGGCTCGAAAGCTAGTAGGCGCTGCACGTCGATACAGGTCCTCACGTGTTGAAGGGATTTCACCGGTTCTTCAATAGTCAGGTCATAAATGTCGTCCGATATTGCAACATTGTTGATAACTTTGAGAAGAGTACAACCGTAACCCTTTCGCTGGTACGGAGGCAGAATCAGTATCTGAAATAAAAAAAAAAACATTACTTAAATATAATTCAAGAACATAATTATGATATGGGATTAAGGATAATAGATACGAGAGCATACCTGACCAAGGCGAAGCCGCATGCTATCAGGGTATTTGTGAAAACGATAAACAGCTGCAAAACCGAGCAATTTCATGCTACTATCTTGTTGGCCTTTCTGCACTGTTATATAGATTTCCCAACTTGGATCTGTTATATCGATAGGGTTGCTACCTGTGCCAAGTAGGAATAAGTTATGTAACGATACATTTACATTTAATATTCATAGACCAAATAGAAGTAGAATTTTACCATCAATTAGAAGAAGAACAAGAGGCACCAATCGGCAGTAGAGGTGCCCAACCTCAGTACCCTTAACCCGGAAAACCTGTAGTAATGCAACAAAAGAAAAGGGACAAGTTATGCCTGAAACATAACCTATAGATACACACGTTAAAGGTGGTATTTTTTTAATCAAGACAATAAGAATATTGAGCCAACAGAATTCATTAACACAAACCACACTCTTTACAATGAGAAAAACGGAAGGGTGACAGAAAAGATATTTTGGGAGTAATGGTACCATACATCAAGTCTCTTGAGAAAAATAGCAAGGGAATATGGCATTTGGCAACAAAACAAGCTGCCTAAAAAACAGAAGCTTTATCCACATGTTTCCTCGTTTAAAACAAAGGAAGAAGGATATCATGATAAATGACTCATTGAGTAACTTTTTAAGCATTTACTATAAGAGGAGAAATGCTTTTGAATTCTATTTCTTCACGGACCTAGTTCCAATTCGCCCATTGCGGCCACAGTTTTAAGCGATGAAACACGCGAAGGAAAGGGCTAAGCTAATTCAAACAATCTTGATAGATTCACAGATCTTAAAGGCAACAACAATATCTAGCATGATTCAATTACTCGATATCCCGATGCTCCAAGACATCAAGATGATGGTGCTGATGATAAAAATCATTATAAGATATTATACATAGCAACATAAATTAATGTTCATAAGTATTAAAGACTGCAGCAACATATAGGATTTACTCATTTGGAGGAGAGTCAGGTATTAAGAAAATCCAGGAAATAAATTTGTAATCTACACAGCACGATAAGCAAGATTACACATTTTTTACTGAAATTATGACACTGCTTTTTCATTAATCATAAAACTACCTCAACATCAGCAGGTTCTTCCTTCATATAACTGGAGTTTCCTGTGCAACCATTAGCTGTATTTTTTGGTAATACTTCTGCCTCGGAGACAACGGATCTAATGCAAGCACAGTCAAAAAGACCAATGTTTAAAATGATAACCGGCATCTTATACTGAATATAAAAACATATATGCATAATACTGATTCATCATACTTTACATAGTCGCATTCTGTTGAAAATGTTTGAAGAAAGTCGTCTTTCTCCTCAACTAAATTGTCAGCTAAAATACTCTGTCAAAATTGAATTGGGGATTATTATTCATATACACAAATATCATAGAAAAAATCGAGTGAAATGTTATACTTGTGTGTTCAGAATTACCTGAAAAGCAGACTTCAGATCTGTTATTCCCTTGCCTCTCTAAATATTGTAAGAAGCAGTCAATATAACATGATCGGGGAACCGAAACTGAGAACGAAAGTACATTTGCAACTACAACTTTAAATTGGTAAAAAAATCACAATTTGGCAGTCTGCAGCTATTGCCTGGCTATTGGTATAGATTCATTATGGATTAACAATAAATAATCCAAATATGTTCGCAACTATCATTAACCCAAATTGTCAGAACCCCACAATTTGGAAGTTGTAGTATGTGCTAATGGCTTAATTCTACACAAATGAACCTGGTCTAGGATAAAATTCTCATAAAATGAACTCACAAGTTGGCCAAAATATCACAATCTTTTGCATGAAATTGTAGGAACATAAAAAATTAGAAAATAATCTGATATCTTCTACTATTTGTATCACTTGTCCCCTTGGAAACAACAAAGCCTAGAGAAGACGAAAGCAGAAACAAATGCTCCAGAGAGAACTATTTTTCGTTTTCTTATAAACAAATTAGAATCTGAATAAATAAGCCCTGAATTTGAGGAGGAACCCAAACACAGCATGTTAGCAGTTGTCACATCATTACGAAGGTATGTCATCAGAAAAAATACCACAAGCAAAAGCTGAAGTGTGGCATAGTTTCGCAGTTTCATGATAAGGAGCTGCTAATTTATTAAGAAGCATAATAGAAGGTGAGACTTACATTTAATTTGCTCTTAAACGAAATGTCAGCGTACGCACGGAACGATATGCTGCTAATCCAAACAGTGATCTGCAAGAGACAAGATTTTCCATTGATGAAAAACAACGAAAGATAGCAAGTACTTTTACCCATAATTTGTACCCTAACAACATTAAATAACAAAGTCAAGTACAATCACTAGAGAGAGGTCTGCAGTAAAATCACATAATTGAGATCACTTGTATATAACCAAGGTAAATAAGATAGTAGAGAAATGTACAGTTCTAAATTTAACTTGTAGAACTCTGCTTTTAAACCCAGTGAAAAACAAAGACACAGAAGCAATAGTAATAACAAGAATGCATATAGCATAAGGAACAGAACAAGAGCATGTCTCTTTCATCTTTTATTTGCCTTGTCACATTTTCAGTTGATTAAATCTCAAAAATCACTTTCTGTTTACATGCTTTTCAGCAGAGGTGTTGTATCTCTGGTTTCGCAAAATTTACCTTTCACTTTCCTATGTACGTTGTCATTCTTACTACTGCATAAGTTATTTATGACACACGGTCTTTTGCAAGCTATGTTTGAAAAGGGTTGGAGTATAAGACATTTTTTCACCAGTTCTTTACGACACATGGTCGTTTGCAATCTATGTTTGAAAAGGGTGCACTGTAATAGAGCATCCCATCTATATGACCAATCTTTCACCCAACAAAAACAAAATATAACAAGCCACTGCAAGTGCACAATTTCCCAAGTTATAGCAATATTCACAAAAATAGATCCCCTACTCTGACTATGTTTAAAATGTAAACTGATATTTCTTTGAAAGTTTGAAATGGTATACAATCCATCTGGATGATACGACTATTCGTTCACATGTCTCACACTACCTCACGAGTCCTTGTACTTCCATTCAAATCTTTAAGAACAATAAGGTCCATTCTCTCAATATATTTCACAATGTCCAATCATGTACTATCATTAACATGTCAAGGCCACCATGTTTCGAAAATATCAACTCCCCGCATGTCTTATGTTTTTATATTTTTTATAAACACCAAATATTTAATACAAACTCCAGTTCCACAAATCAAATCACAAAACAAAATTGACTAATCCAAATATATCAACATTTGCCCAAAACATATATCCATCAATAAACTTGAAAATAAAAGAGAAACTCAAAAGGAAGCTACAACCGCTGGTCATTATTTAATGTAAAGAATGAAAGATAGAAATATTCACTGACAACTTTTAAGACAGATGAGTAGCTAAAAGAAAATGAAATAATCAAATTTAGTTAGTCGAAATCTACCTTCAAATCCTGGTAACCATGTATTCTCCCGTCTTCTTCGAAAAATGCATTAAGGTCAACTGGTACAAACTTGAAACTGCTAGGAGAATCCACTTCATCTTTGCTAGACACTGCGTAAATGTAATTAATCAGATAGAGAGAGAACATTAAGACTAACTCAAAGGTCTACTTAGTAGTAAACCAATAACATTAATGCAAAATTCAATTAAAAGCTTGCTTCAAACTACAGAAGATAGAACTATCGAAACATTAGTACCCTAGCACTTTTCGGAATATATACCTATAATCCTCAAGAAAACAGCATAAAAATGTTCTCATCACACGACAACTACTCCCGGTATTTTGAAATATACACAACTCACTCTTGCATAGAAACTTTACTCAAGTGTTAAGTTATTATCCAACTAACCTGAATAAAGTTTTTAAAAATTAATTGAATCTCATATCCATTTTTCTCTAAAATTGCAATCATAAATACTATTTTTTTTTTCTCAATTTTCTTCAAATTTGTAACCAACATAAAAATACTCAAAAGAGTAATCAACTTGAATCGAGCAATAGAAAGGGGGGAAAAACTGCAAACAGCAAACAAATGAAGAAATTAAATTGAATAATTCAACAATAAGCCCAAGAAATTACCCATATAAAATTCGATACACTCATTAGCTTCGATTCCATCATCTGCAGCAGAGTAAGGGGAAAAAAATTAAACTCTGAAGCTACATTTAGAGGGAAAATGAAGATGAAATGAAGCGAATCGGAGGTGAGTGAGTTACCGATCGAGTTGACTGCATTAGGGCGTTTACGTTTTCTCTCGGGGAGAAGATCGTCGGAGGAGGAGGAGAGCTTGTTACTCATTTTTGGAGATTAGGGTTTTGCTATGGAAGCGGGAAATATGCAGGGCGGGAAATGAAATGTACCTGGGTCTGCGCCAAGGAAACTTATAGGCAATTCTTTTGTATCTATTGTCCTCGTGCCTTGCACGTGAGAATATCACTAAATTACTTTCTCTGTGGATAAAAAAATGGGTAAATTCTATTTTTCCACCTTCTACTCTGGTTCGATATCACTTTACCTCATTCTATTTTCAATTGCATCGATTTGCCCCCTTGTACTTTGGTTCAATATCACTTTACCACCTTCTATTCTCAATTGCATTGATTTGCCCATATATACTTGAAAAATTGTCTCAATATGGCCATCGCCATTAGTTTTCAAACATTTGACATTAACACTGTTTGATCTAAGTCTGAAAATTACTAAAAAGTCACCGCTCTCAGTTTAAATAAATATTAAAAAAATAAAAAAAAAATTCAAGTCAACGAGAAAACATAGTTCACGACGCCAACCACAATTTTTTTTTTAGTTTTTTAATAATTATTTAAACTAGGAGGGGTGGTTTTTTTGTAATTTTCAAACTTAAATGAAACGGTGTTAATGTCAAATATGTGAAAACTAATCGCGAGGGCCGCATTGAGATAATTTTTCAAGTACAGGGGGAAATCGATGCAATTGAGAGTAGAAGGGGGTAAAGTGATATCGAGTCAGAGTTCAAGGGGGCAAATCGATGCAATTGAGAGTAAAAGAGGGTAAAGTGATATCGAACCAAAGTACAAGGGGACAAATCGATGCAATTGAGAGTACAAGGGGGTAAAGTGATATCGAGCCAAAGTACAATGGGGGAAATGAAATTTACCCTAAAAAAATTTGTCTCATATTATTGAGCATTTTATAAATAAGCTCATCAATTGGTACTTATTCATAAAGAGGTCCAGACAATAAATTTTTTTACAAAAAAGTCCACACATGGTCCAGAGGTTTGTGAAAGACTAAAATAGTCCCTCATACTTTAATAAGGTCTAATTTCATCATTTAATTTAATCTAACCTCAATTTGACCCCAAATTTCACAAATTATTCAATTTTGACCCAAAACACATTTTTATGGACAATTTCGTCCGTCACCGCCATTGACCGCCGGTCTCCGGGGTTGATTTTTTTTTCTTTTCTCTTCCTGATTTTTCCACCACTGGTCTCCGACGTTGACTTTTTAGATTTTTATTTTATTTTATTTTATTTAACATCTTTTTGCCTCCCGTTTAAACAACAATATTGTTGTGATGGACAGTAATATTAACTATATTACTGTTAAACACAGTAAAATTAACTATACTACAGTTTAACACAGTAATATTGTTATATTAGTCTCTAGCACAGTAATATTAACACAACAAAACTCATTATTATTGTGTAATAGAATATTAATATGTTGACCGTTCAACAAATGTAAATATAATAAAAGGCCAAAAGAATTAATATTACTATGAGTGACAGTAATATTACTATGACAATAGTAATATTACCGTCAACCACAGTAATATTATTGTGTTTACAGTAATATTACAATAATAGACAGTAATATTATTATGTTAATCCGTGAATAACTCAAACAAAAAAAAAAAACCCAAAAAGAAAAGAAAATATTGATGTGGTTGACAGTAATATTATTGTGTTTACAGTCTGATTTTTTCGAAAAAGCAACTTTAATTTCTTGCCACCTTTTTTTTTCTTTTCATTTTCTGGTTTTGTGGCCGAAAAGGGGAAAATGTGGGGTTTGCATAAGAAGAAAACTCAGCGCCATTGACAACATCAGGGTCGCCTGCCGTCGTTGGATTCGTCGTTTCTCTTTGATGCTGACCACGTTGGAGAGCAGAGTAAGAATAAGAAGCAAAATTTTCAGCCTCACCAGTGAGAATAGCGGGTGGTGTTGAGTAAGAAGATGAGTTGCAGTCCTTTTTCTCTCATTATTTTTTTTTTTTTTGGTTTTTTTTTTTTCGTAAATCAATTTATATTATGATAGTTTAGTCATTTCACCTAAGTCAACAACAAAATATAATGAAAGGTGCGGTAGACTAAATAAATCAATCATAGGGGGTCAATGGTAATTTTTTTAATATAAAGACTTTTCTGAAATTAGACTTTTCATAGGGATCTCTATGCAATTTACTTAGAAGAAAAATATCACAAGGAGATCCACAATTTAAATACAGGTGTTTAGTCACAAAAGGTGATATGAAACCACATCAATATTTTCAGGATGATTTGGAATTCAATAGAAATATCAAAGTAAAATTGAGTTGATGAGAGAAGGAAACTTTTCTTTTTCTATGCCATAACCACCAATTGAGCAACTGAAAGGAGAGTACGCTAGAACTTAAGCACGTCATATCTAATTACTTTGCATACATTTTTCGGACTACCTTCTTCCCAAATTGAGACTACGAATGTGTTTGTTGAATGATGCATGCATCTACATTTGAAGTTGTAAAAAAACCTGGTCAATTTCAAATGATGTTTTGACTATACATAGGATAAAATGGAATTTAATAGAGAAAATCATATTATTTTTAATAACTATATACTTAGGTTTACGAAAATGCTATTTCCGGTCACAAAATTGCTATTCGCGGTTTATGACAAAACCCCTCAAAACTTTTAAAAATATCAAAAAACCCCCCAAAACTGCAAATAGCAAAAAAAAAAAAAAAAAATCGAAAATTCGAAATCAAGCTTGAAGAAGGGTTGGACTTCGATTTTTTGATGTAATTTCGAATCTTTTATGTGTAACATGCATTGGGTAGGTCGATTACGGAACCAATTTCATGTTAAAAAGCCCTACAAATCAATTTGTAGGGTTTTTTTTTTTTCCGCAAAAAAATGTTCGAACGCCCAAGATGGGCGCCCAAGGCGTGTCATTTAAAAAAAAAGTTTTTTTTTTTGCACTGGACGCCCAACCCGGGCGCCCAAATGCAGCCTTGCACGCCCAACTTGGGCGTGCACTGCATGAATGGGCGCCCAAGTTGGGCGTTTACGCGTTTTGGGGGGTGTTTTTGGATTTTTTTTGGAAAGTTTTGGGGTTTTAGTGAAATAAAGTGTTTTTTTGGGGGGTTTTGTTACAAACCGCAAATAGCAATTTTCAAACCGCAAAAAGCAATTCCCAATTGGATATAATATAAATTACTTGCAAAACAATGTTAGCATTAGAATTTTAATTGTGCAACAAATATAAATATATTTTAATATTACGAAAAATTAGTATAATTAATTAAGATAATTTCAAAATGAATCTAAATGGCATTTCCTTCACTATGCAATTTTTTGCACTTACTCTCTAAAAGTTAAATATAGAACGAAATTAGGCTTGATGTAACAAATAATTGACCTCACAGAAAATCGTACAAAACGCATAGTACATGCTTTTTTATCGATTTATTTAAAATTGCACTTTTACATATTCCTAATTATTTTTTCCAATAAATTTTTATTTTTTGAGAGTACTTTAATATATTCCTATTACTCGTAAGTCGTAACAATTCGGCAAGTTTGGGAAGAACGGCTAGCTGCGTTCTGCCTACGCCGGATTTTACAATTCTGACACTCTCTAAGCACCTTCCGCCGCCGCCGCCATGGGAGAAGCTACGAAGTATACTCTGCCGGAAACCGTACGATCAACTGTGTTTATGGAATCCGAGCAGTTGGATGGCGCGTGCGCCAAAATCGAGGGCTACAATTTCAATAACGGCGTCAACTATCACGAGCTTTTCAAGTCCATGTCCGTCACTGGATTCCAGGCATCCAATCTCGGCGACGCCATCCGTTTGGTTAATGAAATGGTTTGTTCTCTGTTGTTTCAATTCTGAAGTTATTTCTTATATAATTTGAATTTTTTGAATTTAAAAATTGTAAATTGGGAATCTGATGTAAAGTGGCAAGTTCTATGGAAATCAATTTTATAAATTTAGGAACAAATGTTGGTTTCAGTATCCAAATAGTGCTTTTATATTCAAATTTTTAGCTTAAGGATCTGTTTGGGTGGTTTAAGAAAGGATTTTGGCTAGTAAAAGATAAAATTGAGTGAATTATAATTGGAGGCTTACTTTTGATTTCAGCATTCATTTTTCGGTTGCTTACTTTTGGTTTAAATGGTTTGAAGCTAGATTGGAGGCTTTCAGATGAGACTCCAGAAGAAGATTGCAGTGAAGAGGAGAGAGAGCTTGCTTATCGAGAGTCTGTGAAGTGTAAAGTGTTTCTCGGTTTTACTTCCAATCTCATCTCCTCTGGCATTCGAGATATAGTCTGCTATCTTCTTCAGCATCGCATGGTGAGTGAGTGGTATTCAGAAACTACTATGTTATTTTTTTTATGTTCGTTTTAGTATATAAGGGAAATGAAGCCGATTCAAAGAAAGCTGTTGTTTCAACTCCATGTTACTGCACATATTATGTACTCATTGCGGTGTTGCTTATATGATTGTTTTGAAATGGGATACTCAAAAGCTAATCCGAATTAGGATAACGTACGGGAAGATGACTAGTTTTGAGTTAGTTGAACATTTTGAGAACTTTATGATGACTAGTTTTGCCTAATGGTTTCATATTATGAAATATTACATGAATGTAGGATACAGTTTAGGAGCATTCTGATACGAAAAATATATTTCATGAATTTAGTTAGTGGAAGAAGTTTATTATATTATTGAGTTAGTGGGTGGTTCAATTTTAATTCGTCATTTACATAGAAATAGGTTCCGTTAGTAAAGAAAGTAATTTTCCGTGATATGCATGTTTTTAGTGCGGGTTTAGTGAAGTAGTTCATATATTGCTATTAGTTGTAAGTCCTATAAGTTGAGTACTGCGTGAACGAAAATGGGGATATCAAGCTTTTAGAAGAATCAAATACTTCTTTTATCTCCTCTATTTCTTCCTATTCTATCTTCTCGGTTTCTTCTTAATTCTCAAAATTATTTATGCTAAAATTACCACATCACATTCTTGATCTATATATATATATATATATATATATATATATATATATATATATATATATATATATATATATATATATATATATATATATGTGGGGGTGCAGGTAGATGTAGTGGTAACGACAGCAGGTGGTGTGGAGGAGGATCTCGTGAAGTGTCTTGCACCAACTTACAGAGGGGATTTTTCTCTGCCTGGAGCTGTTCTTCGTTCAAAAGGTTTGAACCGAATTGGTAACTTGTTGGTTCCTAATGACAACTACTGTAAATTCGAAGACTGGATCATACCAATCTTTGATCAGATGTTGGATGAACAAAATTCACAGGTATTGTTCAGTCTATTTTGTATCGTATTTCACTTCGGTAGTTACCCATGTACTTGGACTATATTTTATTATTGTAAAATTAGAATGGATAATATAGTTGAAGACTGCTACTACGGAAAATACACACATACTCACGCACACACACACACACACACACACACACACATATATATATATATATATATATATACAACTTGGCTTCATTTTAGTTCATTATCATGGAAGGAAGCCAACTGATGATGTAAAGGACCATGTTAAATAATTTCACGAACTTTATTTCTTACAGAAAATATTGTGGACACCCTCTAAAGTTATTGCTCGATTGGGGAAAGAGATCAACAATGAAACTTCATACCTCTACTGGGCATACAAGGTACACATTCTAGTCAACGTTCTTATTTTTAGAACCTTGTGACTAATTTTGCCTAATGCTTTCGTATCATATTTGGCCGATTTGAGATATTATAAAAAAATGTTTAATTGGTAACTACGGCATTGATTTTTGTTTAACATGTGCTAATTTGCATGATATCTGCAGAACAATATTCCCGTATTCTGCCCTAGCTTAACAGACGGTTCGCTGGGTGACATGTTGTACTTCCACTCGTTCAAGAACCCTGGTCTTGTCATAGACATTGTTCAAGGTAGTAATTGTATAATATATTTACGATCCAATTTTTACACTCGGGGATGAAGATCAATATGAATATTAATTGTTTGTTGTGAACAGATATTAGAGGGATGAACAGTGAAGCAGTACACGCTTCACCGAGGAAGACTGGTATGATAATACTAGGTGGAGGGCTTCCAAAGCATCATATTTGCAATGCGAATATGATGCGTAATGGCGCTGATTATGCTGTCTTTATTAACACTGCACAAGAGTTTGACGGAAGTGATTCCGGTGCACGTCCCGATGAAGCTGTGTCTTGGGGCAAAATCAAAGGTTCTGCTAAGACTGTCAAGGTTCGAAAATTTTCACTTTATTTATAATTTAATGATTCCTTACAGAAGTCTTTTTATTAGGTTTTGTTGTCTTTTTGCTCTAAAAAATTGAAATTAGACGTTAAATTTTTTATTTTTATTTTTGTGAGAGCAGGTGCATTGTGATGCGACCATTGCTTTCCCGCTGCTGGTAGCGGAAACATTTGCATCAACTAGGGCAAAGACATCTGCTGAGAATAATACTGTTGTCGATTAAAGAATTTTGGCCAATCTTTCTGTCCAGATCGATCAAGAGAGATTAATTGACAGGTGTAGACTTTCCTTCATTTATCCTAGGATTTACGATTGATTATTTGAGTTGTGTAAACTCTCCCACACGAAGAAACATATTTATGATGATTGGAACTCTCCCTGTTAGTGAAAACGTGTTCTCGTACTGAGTATCGAAAATGTTTCCTGATTTATGATGCCTTATCAGAAGAAAAAATCAAAGTCACAAACTAGGCTTGTGATGGACTGACAATAAAAAATGAATTTCAAACAGAGTTATAAAAGGAGATTTTGAATTATTATGATACATGAAAATGTTTGAATCAAATCCAGGGTACATGAAACATACTAATTTTCTTGTCGTGAAAACCGCTTCATGTCCAATACATTTAAACTTTACATGACAATCTGAAAAAACACACATCTTTTTACCCCAACATCATAAAAACGATCACCACTACAATCACAAAGGCATCGATACTAATTAACTATCAGCATGTAGCAGAATAAACAATATATGATAGCCTCACAACTTTTCAAGAAAGAAAGAAAGAATAGCATGTAACAGAATAAACAATATATGATAGTCTCACAACTTTCTCAAGGACGATTTGCGCGAAGAGTTTCAAATAGGGTGTCATAATCGGGAAGTTTTGGATGAACGTGACTAGCTTTTTTAGCACCATCTTGTTTACCAGGACTGTCAATCGATGGCTCTGGTTTTTGCTGGGAACTTGACGGCTCTTCTACAGCAGATGACTTCTTGTGAGCGGCCTTACCATCTTGCACTATTGCCGAAGTTGCTTTTCCTGAGCTAGGAATTTGCGAAGGTCCCGGCAAATTTGATTTATTAGGCTTATTAGAAGCCACTTTTGCTGGTGTGGGCTGCTCAGAATTTCCCGATTGATTTGGAGAGTATGGAGTTGGAGGCGCCCAATAATTTGATTTGGGAGGCATAGAAGGCGGCTTGGGTGAAGATTTATTTGGAGCCTCAGATTTGTTGGGGATTTTGGATTTTCTATCTGTTTCAGCGGTATCAGATTCGACTGCTTCAGGTTTAACACGTATCTTTGTGTGAGAACTTGTTCTCCCTTTAGGAGGAGAAACTTTAGTTCTTCGAGAAACCGGACTTGGCGGATGATGTTTTTTCCTATTACCGGACACATTTGAAAAATCATCATCGGTGTCACTACTATCAGAACCGAGTATCGAATCCGAAACTGCTAAACTCGGTTTCGTTTTTTTAACTGTGCCCACAGTATTAGGAGCCTGTTTTTTACCATACCTCTTTGGCAAAGGTTTGTCTTCCTCATAACTTTCACTATCTGAATCTGACTCCAAAACCGGGGGTGTTTTTGAGCTTTTTTTGTGACGGCCTATCTCAACAGCTTTTTTTGGAGGGGGGGTGGTTGATATTGTAATCTTGGGACTAGTCTCAGCTTCCTCCTCTTTGTCAGATGATGACTCATCCAATCGATTTTTCTTGATGAAAGGCAGGTGTTTATTACTCTTGTGACGAAGACCACCGGTGAGTTTTCCGAAATTCAGCATCCCCACACCCGATTCATTACCAACTTCCTCTTCTGAAGAAGAGTCTGCACCAAAATTGTCATTTCGGTTTGTTTTCCAGGGCAAGTCAACATCGGAATTCAATTCATCATCCGAGGGAAATGACAACGGTTTAGTGTCGAATACTGAATTTCCTTCGTCCTTACGTGTCGATCCAACTGATTGTTCTGCTTTACCCTTCTTAGCATGTGATCTAACTGATTTCCCGCTGTCTTTGTGTTTATGTGGACGATCACTAGAATCTTCCACCTTAGAATCTTCCACCTTAGATTCTTCCACCTTATCGTGGACAGTATTAATGTCGTCAATTTCAGAAGCTGCACCATCAGAATCATCGAACATCACTGGCGCGTCCAGTTCTGGATCATCTTCCAATGTCGTGTTTTCTTGAAAAACAGGGGATACTTTCTCTTCAGTGAAAAATACCGATGAAGTAGGCTTCTCTACTCTGCTCGAGCTACGACTAGGACTCCAAGAATCTGCTTTTACTGATTGCAGCTCCGGTGATTTTTGGCCTAATAATTGCATATGAAATTCCAAGCTCTGCTCATCATATGTAGGGCTCTTACAAGCCTCGTGATCATCAATATCTGAATCAGATTTGTCAAAATCTGCTACGGCAGCAAATTCAGGGAAACTTATCTGTGAAGCTTCGAGATGAACGTCACTATTACCAACACCCACAAAAGGATTCGTATCAGATTCGTGATCATCAATAACTGAATCAGATCTGTCAAAATCTACAGCAGCAGTTTCATGGAAACTTGTCTGTGAAGTTTCGAGATGAACGACACTCTTACCAACACCCACAAAAGGATTCGTATCAGATTCGTGATCATCAACACCTGAATCAGATCTGTCGAAATCTACAGCAGCAGTTTCATGGAAACTTGTCTGGGGGGCTTCTTCATGAACGCCACTTTTACCAACACTTGCAGTGGGATCCTCACAAAAATCATTTGCAAAAACATTCACATTGTCATAAATGCTAGACTGGGAACTAGCAGGGCTTATTACACTGGGCAGTTTCACAATCTTTTCTTCACTGAGAATTTCAGCTTTCTCCGGCCAGCTGTTTGCAGTTTCATTCTCATACTTGATGGACTGTTTCTTCATACTCATCTCACCTTCGTATATCTCCTTTAATGAGTTATTTTGAGAATAGTCATCTATTGGGGTACTAGAAGGGCTTATTACACTGGGCTGCTTCACAATCTTTTCTTCAGTGAGATTCTCAGTTTTCTCTGGCCAGCTGTTTGCAGTTTCATTCACATACTCGATGGACTGCTTCTTCGTACTCACCTCACTTTCGTATATCTTCTTTAATGAGTTATTTTGAGAATAATCATCTACAATTGGGGTACCATGAACCAAAGAATCAACATCAACTGAAACTTTAGACTTTGGAGAAGGTAATCGATTATATTCTTCTGAACTTCTACCACCACCCGCACCATCCTCCTTTAGTACTGAAGCTGTCTTCAGTTCATGAAGTTTACTCCCATCTATTTGCGCATTCTGTACCTCTGAATGCTCAGTGGAGGATTTTTTAACGAATGGTTCAGAAAATCTTTCACCAGAAAATTCTGAATCTGGGTGCGTTTCAGGTCCTTCATCTTTTATAATATGAACATCTGGCTTGCACGGTTCGGTAGAATTCTGCCTCGAAATCTTACCAGAGCTGGAAAGTTCTACGGCAGCTTTAGCAGCCATACTTGCTCGTTCTGCAGCCTCAGCAGCCACCTGTGCCGCCTCAGCAGCATCCTTGAATTCCATCGTTGTCCACCTCTGTGTATCCACTGGGCTAGTATTGTTATCTCCTTGAAATAATTCTGCCTTCTTCTCCGGTGGTGCTGGGAGAACAAACAATAAGCAATAAAGCGCAAGAAAATAAATAACCAATCAACGATATAATCAGTAGTTTGTGTTCAACTGACTGTACTGTATCAACCTGAAGGCTTTGTTTCGGGCTGGAATGTTGGGTTGACACTAGAAGTTTCAACAGAAGAGAACTTCTCAGCTCCCACCGGAGTATTAGAATCCTGCTGGGAAGAATTTAATGGTGAACTATGTATGTTACTGTTGATTGGGCTAGCTTGGACATCTGTAGCTTCCAAACGAGGAGGTTCGGCATAGACTTCACTCTCCTTCCTGCTTGGTCCACTCTGATAAAATTGAACAAATGAACATTTAAATCACAAAGTGCTTTTGAATAGTGTTAGAATAGAAAAGTAGATAAGGACTAGAATCAATTAAACATAAAAGATAGACAGTTTTAGTATAGAATAGTCAGACAGAAGATGGTTACAATATTGAATAAACTAGGAAATACTTATTCCCTAAGACATTATTTCCTAAGACAGACACAAATCTCCTGACATAGATAGAAATAAATTACCCAATAAGATAGATTCCTAATCAAAGACAAAAAATATATTCTAAAAGATATTAAAGAACCCCACAAAACTATATGTTGAGACAAAGAAACTAAATCATACCTGCGAGACACTGGGAGGTACTGAAATCTCTTCAACTGAATTAGATTCCCATTTAACATTGTACTCATCTGCAATTGCACTCAAAATTTTGAGTTTGGTCTGTAAATCAGGTGCCGTTGCAGATAGTTTCTCTACCAACTGCAATAACATAATGGGAGACAAAGAAAGATTATTGCCGGGCTGAACTTCCCTTGGATGTTAATTTCAAATGAAAGAGATTAAGTGACCTTACAGACATACCATATTGCCTACACCACATTGCGGACGAAGTTCTATGGCTGCAGTAGTGAAATCTTTTCCATATTTTACTGATAATTGCTTCCTTACATCTAGAAGTTCAGGTACATCTCCGCATCTTGGTGATGCAAATACTAAACTTGCAATTGCTTCCTTCAGGTCAATGGGGCAATTCCTACAGAGATAATCGAGACAAGAAAAAGTATGCGTTAGAAAGAGACTGAGGCATCATATTCATTTTGGTAATATCTCCAAACAACAATTTAATATTGTGGAAGCAATGAAAATTACGCCAACTTGGCAAAAGAGAAATTATGAGCATTATAGAGTACATAATATACATACTTCTGCGACTCGATTATTGGCAGGCGAGCAACAACAAGTTCACAGTATATCTCAAGAAGATCATATGCAGCCATCATCTTCTCTTCCCTAATCACATGTTCGACCTGAAATAATACGATATGAATAAAAGATCTTCTCATGTAAAGCTAATGTCGGAAAATAAGTGACGCCCCATGGACAAGAGGTAATCAATGGTTTCAATAAAATGAAGAAATCTAAAGCACACATGAAAACATTCGATTTTAAGCCTCATCGGACTCTACTTTAAGCTTTTTCTCCACATTCAACAAGTAATTATTCTGAAAGAGTCATTCTAAGATTAATCTTAATCCAAAAACCTCTCTCCCGAAAAATTTGCCCCGTGACTCATGGAACGGGTAACATCAATACAATATTTAATCCAAAAAAATTCAAAGCACATGGTGATCTCTAAATAATATTTCATCTCACATTGCAACGAAGAAAATGAAAATAGAGATAATTACTCGAATTCGAGCGGTCTGATCCTGGCCGGACTCGAGCAACTGGGAAATTTCCCTCTTCATTTGCTTCACTTGCACATCTTTCTTGTTCCTCAATAGCTTCAATCTCGAACCAGCCAACCTCAACGACGTTTTGCTGCATCAAAATTCAATTTCCAATATTAATATACTGCAAAAAATCTTAAATAAAAATACACATACAGATTGAGTCACAGTAGACAGAGTTAAATCATCAATTAAAGCATTCGAAATACTAAATTGATAAGCAGAAAAACACAGAAACACACACAGAAAAACACACAGAGAGAAAAACACAGAGAAAATTGAGGACGATCTACCATTTGGAAGGATCGAAACTCCGGTGGAGCAATCCTTTGGAACTCTGCAGAAATTTGTTCTTCATATTCTGAAAATGCAAATCACCAACACTAATTACCGACAAAGCACTATCAATTTCGCTGAATCGGTTGAAATCTGAATTTGAATGAAGAATCTGGAGAGGGTTTCAATTTGTTTGGGGAGGATCCGAAATCTATTTCTATTTATTCAGAAATTTGGAGACAAGTTTCTCTCTTACAGAGAAAGATCAGACTTGTCACCGTCGGCGTCGATATATCTTCCAGTTAATTTTTCTTAATTCAAGTTGACGAAGTAATTCAAATCAATCGACTTTTTGGTTGATTACCGAATTGCCCTTCAACTGCCTTGTTAAGCAAAGTGCATTGAGTATTGACTTTAAATAAGAAATTGTCACTACCTTTTTTTCAATTGTTTCTTTTTTTGTTTTTAGGGAAATAATTGTTTTATTGAACAGGGTGAAAATCGGACCAATCGAAATTAGTACTTGAGGAAAAAATTCTAATATTTTTTTCTAAAGTAAATGAAACCAATCCTAGTTTCTACAAAAAAGTTCAGAATTTGGAATTTTGAAAATTGAATGAGAAAAACTTGTTCTAGAATCAGAAATTTTCAAACCGGATTCAGCTGCATTCCGTAAGTTTTATTTTGTCATTTGTCTATAATAAGAACATTGGTATTATAAGTGTAATTTTGGAAACTGAATTGGACCGGAAACCAGAATCTAATGCAATTATATTTTAAAAAAAAAATCGAAATATGGGAAATTGGAACTTTCAAAATTGAAAATATTATTTCAAAAAAAAAAAAAATTCAGATAGAAATTGACAAAATTTGGAACTACTTGAGCTAGATACACATAAATTTAAATTTTAATAAATAACACTAAGTTTAGTAATAATAATAATAATAATAATAATAATAAATCCAAAATAATCATTTAGTATGAATGGCATGTAGAAAGCGTGTTAAGGGAGGGAGGTCGTTGACCTCAAGATTGACCACACAACACACATATGACATAACGTGCCAGTTGCAACATAATTTTGACTCGGTATATATCATAATAAAACAAGAATTTCCAGGAATTGGTCGTTTCAATTCTAATTTCTAACCAATCTTCACTCTATTATTTACTTCGCACCGCGTGGACTTAAATGGGGATTCTACTACTAATACTAAAAAAACAAAAACACATTTCCTTTGTAGAAAAAGTTTGAGATCCATCACCAAAACCATTTTTTTTATTCGGATTTACGGATCATCATAAGCATTTCAAAATGACATTTCAAATTAAATAAAACACTAGTGTTTGCGGCAGCTATATAAAATTGAGACGAAAAAAAAAAGGGAATTGCTTTTTGCGGTTTGAAAATTGCTATTTGAGGTTTTCAACAAAACCCCCCAAAAAAATATTTTATTACACTAAAACCCCCAAAACTTTCCAAAACAATCCAAAAACCCCCCCAAAACGCGTAAAAGCCCAACTTGGGCGCCCATTTATGCAGTGCACGCCCAAGTTGGGCGTGCAAGCTGCATTTGGGCGCCCGAGTTGGGCGTCCAGTGCAAAATTTTTTTTTTTTTTTTTTTTTTTTAAATGGTCGAACGCCCAAGATGG